AAGTACATCATGAATAGGCCCCAAATTATCTTACTAACATAAAAATACAAAAAAAAATGTAGACTATTTTTCCCATGACTCAGAACTGACATTATCAGACATGCTTTAGAGAAACTTGCACAGTTGTTCGTAAAAGAGCCTCTGTGGACCATGTTTCTTAGACCTTAGCCCATTAGAAAACTCAATCTCTAACTGTGGGATCTAAGCACTGAAAAATCAAATCCTAGAAATCTAGGGAGAAATGCACTCCTTTAAGCTAAAAAGAGAAGTGAAAACTGTCCGTACTCAAGTCTTGAATTAAATAAGAATGTTCAGCTTTCCATCAAACTAAACCACAGCCTACTTTTCAGTAAACAACGTATTTGACCTGTAAATGCTTTCCGTGTCAACTTTGTATTATATGCCACCACCATTTCTTATTTATTAATGTATGGTTGCCCTAGTCCCCACAAAAATACTCCTTCATCTATTTTTGTCAACCTGTTTATAAAAATAACATCATTACAATTTCACTGGCAGCAACCGAGTGATCATTGCATTTGTCTAGTGAAGATTTGCCATCCGCATGAAAGTCATTAATTTAAATTTGGACAAAACAACTAATCAGAAAACATGAAAAAAATCCACATTACATAAAGAAAATTGAGTAGGGGAAAAAAAATCAATGATCTTGGAAAGAAATGTTTCAAAGATTCTTAGTCACGATTCACTCTGCAATGTTTTGATTATTTTACTTTATAATATGTTTGGAAACATGACTTTTCAGCACTGATTGAACATGTGAAACACACTGCTCTAATCTGCATTAGTGACAGGGGACACTGAAGCTCTGCCATTTCCAATACCGTGGCTCTGCAGTAGGCTCATTCCTCAGGATAACCAGGCCAACATACTGCACTGCACATCATGCTTGAAGCCCTAAGAACCACTTTAAGGTACAGATTTAAATATTATTCCAGTACATCCTTTTCTTCACTGGCTAATGAGGAAATTCATGTACCTCCAACTGAGAGATGTCATGAGCTGCCATATACTAAGAAAAGGATTTATGGTGAAGGAAACAGCATTTCCTTGGATATCCAGAAGGCTTTAAGCCCCTACTATGTTTTGTGCTCCTTGCAGGCCTTGATGAAAAAAATCCCACATCTCCATACTGGAGATACAAACCCAGATTCTTCAAAGTTTCCCTTGTGCAGAAAGTAAAGACATTTTGTGCACACATAACAAAAGATGGTGTTAATTTCCCACCTTCACACCAAAAGACCTAAGAAACCTTCCCATTACCAATTCTTTTAGGCACAACTCTGCTTCTTGCACAAGGCATACTTCTCTATATAGCTACAAGTTAGTATTGGCCAGCAAAATTAAGCCCAGATTAAATTTAAAAATGTTTCCTGGACAGATTTCTATCCATATTTCTTTTAAATGTAAGCTATGAATGAATCTCTGTTTAGTAGAAAACAAATGGTAAGAACTGTCACTAGAGTACGATGGGGGTCTCAAACTCTTCCAACACTTTGTGGTCAGTTATAATACTAAATATTACTAGCAGTAAGGGTGGGGGGAGGGGAGAATTAGTCTGTGTGTCTTAATACTATAATCAATACAATTAATATCCTCAGAGAATAATGAAAAGCCTATAAAGAAAAATCTAAATTAAAAAAATTGAAGTAGAAGCAGTTTTCTTTATATTATTCATATTTTGAACACACTCAAGTGGCTTTTTAATTCTTCTATTTTTATTGTCAACTGAATGTCCCAGACTTGTGAGTTAACTGAATCTTCACAGTTTTAGTGTTTCTTTTGGAGAAGTTTCCTACCACTTTATGGCTCTTTCTCCCCCTAAAAATTCACTCAACCTTAAAAAAATTGCATTTTAATATGTGCATTATCTTCAAAATAATCCAAGGATAGCTATTCAGTCATAAAATCCTAACTCAATTATGCATGTGTATGTATACTATATTATCTTTCATATCCTTTATAATGTATTTAATCCTTTATAATGTATTTAATCACAAATTAATACTACCACTACAAAGCTGACAGTTTTTATAACATCATGCGGCCTGGCAGAGGTGGTATACCATGACAATGGAACTTGACTGGGCACAAAACACTACTAATCTCCTCATAAATTTAATCTTCATGATTCATGTTTAATTGTACCCAGATATGAACAAATTTACCTCAAAAAAAGGCAAATAATCTTGCTAAGAATTTAAAGATCAAACACTAGGCAGTGGGACACTGAGCCAAATTTGATTTCACTTTATGTCAGAAACAAATGCATTGACAGTGACTCAGTTCTGGCTACATATTCTGTGACTAATCTTAGGCCACCATAAATAAGAAGCTGACAACAGCTATTAAACTGTTTCCATTCCCATCCATGAGTCTCCAATTCCTAGTATCCAGTCACCACAAAACAATTCATACAAACACGCAGTTAAGGAAATGTCCTAATAATAACTAGTTTGTTGTAAATATGACTAAGCAACAACAAAGCAAGAAAGGGTCTGTGCAGCATATGTGACAAAAATTACATGTATTGTAGTACAAATCCTTCACTTGGGAAAACTCCCAGTGATAAAACACATAAGACACATGTTGCTACAAACTAAAGACTGGTGGGTTGTTTTTTTTTTTCCCTTCTAGTACAGCTCTTTATAACACAGACCACAAGAGACTGCCAGTCTCCCTCTCAAGCCTAGGCTTAATCCACAGCTTTCTCAGTCTTTCCTCAAGCACTAATTAGCAGCCAACACCAAATTTTGCAGAAATCTCAACAATTAACTTTCTCAGGTGCCAGGTTTCTTTAACACTACTAGAAGCCTTTCCCTCATCCTCTGAGATATAAACCACCAGGGAAGTCTCCTGTTCTCCTCCCTACCGGAGGGTAACAACCCTCCTATAAGACTAACTCCAAGTCTGAACACCATCCCCAGACTCAGTCTTGCTCAAGCTCTGAGTTGGCTGTTCAGCAGCCCTAATTTAAAAGAAAGGTTTGAGAGTTATGACTGCATTTAAGAAGTGTACTGAAGTGCATTAGCACATGCATCCACATCCAGCACAGCAGCTAAGCTCACTAAATTGCTTCCAGCCAACTGTCAGATATTAGTATGCTCATATCTAATATTTAAACAATACCTTTTCAAAAGTGGACTTTGAATGCTGCTGATAAACAGAAGTTTCTGAGCAAACAAGAGAATAGACTACCCAGGCAGAAGTCTTAAATTGACAAGGAGCTGGACAGAAGGACACCAGCAGGGATCACAAAATGGCAGCATTTGTAGGGAAGATGCTGATGAGGAAACGAATTTAGAGAGAACAATTTCATCAGAAATAGGTATGAGTGACACCTCATAGTTCAAATAAGGGACATGGTGAGGCTGTAGTGGGACGGACTGTACCATGAGGACAGGCAGCCATTAAAGTACAACCCTGGCTATTTTCACAATGTTGGCCACATCACACTAGCAAGGGGTTGCCCTGCTTGTCCTCATTTGGAGCTCAGCCACTTGATCTGGAACCAAAGCAGCAGTAGTTCAGCTGACAACACAGGCGTGATGTAGATTAATCCAGACATGCACATCCATAAGTCTAATTTTAAGAAGTGTGGAAATCAAACCTCATAATGGGACACCAAGACTTTGTGAATAGGATGGATCCAAAGGAGGTGGATGCCACTCAGAAAGTTACCAACAAGTCTAAGCATAAGGGCAAGTCTGATCTTCTCCAAGTTCAGATGTCTGATTCAAGTTTGCGTAGCAGAGCTACTTCCCTCCACTTGTCATTCAGAGCATAAACCTTTTTGCTGACACAGAACCTGTATTTAGTATTTGACTAAGTTTGAGAAAACTTACTCTTTCAGTTGAAATACATATGAGAATGAGTGCTGCAACTCATTGCAACTCATCTTTTAAATTATTCAATAACTTAGTAATTAAATTATTACAAAAGCTAGGTTTGGTTTCTAAGTATCAGGGAGTAGAGTTGTGCTCCCCCATCCCATCCCCTGTTTCCTTATCCAGATGTTCTGAACTAGAGACCTCCTCAACTCCACTGCATAAATTGACATCACTGAAGAGAATATAGGAAAAGAAACTAAATGCAGTAATTGCTCCTGTAATTCAGTAGAAAGGTGAAGTCTTTTCTGGATCTTGCTCGCAGAACATAACTTTTTTTATTTATATTAAACTATCACCAAAGAAGAAAAAAAAAAAGATAAATAGTCCCAAGAGTAGAAATCACCCCTGACTGGGGAAGAGAGCTGAAACAGGCCTTTGCTTCCTGCATAGAGTTGGGCTTCTAGCTAATTTGGAAGGTAGGTACATAGCTATTTACACAGAACTAGCACTGTATTTTGACCAGAAATTCATAGCCATGCCAAATGAAAGCATGGCCAAGATTAGGTGAAGTGTGAAGTGTGTGTGTGGAAAGGAAGACAGACTTTGGGTAACAATTTTTCACTTCAATGCCAAAAAGCCTGCCTACATTCTTCTTTGGATTTAACTCAATTTTCTTTCTTGTTTAAAAAATTCCATCCATCAAGAGTAATGACAAAGTCTGCTTGTAGAACCTAAATTCTTCTCAATTGCACTAATTTTGAACAGCTTTTTTGTCAATGAAGTCACAGCACTAGCAGCTAGTAAAAGCAAAATACAAATTTTGCTCTCAAAAATTTTTTCAGACTTTCAGTCTCAAATATGCTAAAGGTAGATATTATAAGAAAAAAAATACGTGATCATAAATTAATAAAATAACTCTTCAAACTCACACAGAATAAAGTGCTTTTTAAAATGGTAATTAATTCTCATCACCAAGTTTATTCTAAAACAGGAGAAAGGGGAAATCCTGTTTCTCTTCATTCACTATTAGCAAGAAATTTAAATAACAGAAGGATTTAATTACCTGTATTGAAACAGTTATTTCAGGTCTGCTTGTTTCATTGTAATTTTTTCAATTGAGCAAAAAAATTAACTTGAATAAACTTTTACCTTTTTCTGGAAGGGTACTGGTATTGCATATCTGTTCTTCACCATCCCCAGCAGACGTTGCAGCTTTTATTTTAATTTGATAAGTAATATTGGAAAGCAGATTTCTAAAAGTATGGAGTGTATCATAAGATGAAAAATTTGTAGAATTTCCTTCAACTGTTATGATGTAATGTGTAATTACACCGTTGGATGAAGCAGGAGGGTCCCACTGCACTAGGATTGATTGCCAGCTCATTGCAATACAACGAACATTCTGGACAGCATCTGGTACTTAAAAGATACACATGCACCAAAGATTAACATTCATACACAATTAAAGTGGGAATCACAGAGTAATATCATTAGAGAAGCAGATCCAATGTTCATAGGAACAGTCAAACATTGCAGTGTCAGACAAATTAATAAAAGAAACACATTGAGAGAACAAAAAAATGTCTTTGTTCCCATTAAATGGTTCACTTCCAACTACTATGAATGTGACTGATGATTGTACTCGAAATAGAAGAAGTCATCTATCTGGTTTTTCCCTGGTTGTGAGATCCAATTTTGTTTTCACACCTGCTCATATTCTCCACATCTTTTTTTAAACAAAGTGTAGTAAAACATACACAGTAGTGTGAAATCCATATACATACTCCACAACAGCATCAACAGCAGAAGTTCCTTATTTATATGTTAGCTCTGTTTCTTTTAGGCACTTTATCATACCTCTCTGTCCTTCCAGCAGAGGTACAACCTGCACAGAAGTCATGAGGCAGGTTTCAGAGCTGTCATATCAATGCTATTATCTTACAGTTCCCAATCTATTTGCTGGTTCTGGCAGGAGAAATTTTTTTAAATGCTTATAAAAAAATTAATGAATTGTAGCAAATATTATAATCATGTTGAAAATAGAGCAATTATATGTGAACAATTGATTAAAGAGAAAAATGGATTAAAGTATTTCCAAAAGGGCTAAATTACTGGCTGTACCATGTAAGAGAAAACAAATACACAGTGAGGGGTGGCCCAACCTACTTCTTCTATTGAAACAGGTTGAGGAATCTATAAAATAGTAAAAAGATTGTAGTGAGGCAGTTAAAATAGAGGTAAACATATTCATTATCACTATACAGAGGTAAATTAATCTGTTTAAAAAGATTAATTTTCTTTTCAGAATTTAAAGAAAAAATTTCTTTTTAAGAAGCAACATCTGCAGAATAAAGAAGATTAACTGGCACTTTTAATAAAGACTAGGGACAGAATCCTTAGAGGAACTCAGTGAGGAACTGATCCAGCAATTGCCCAAAATCTAGGTTGGAGGGAAAGGAAACATGCTGCAACTACCTAAGCATAAAGTCTGAGATAAAGCTATAATATTACTAGATCATGTTCCTGGGAGAAATGTCTCTCCAGTACTTCCAAAGAAAGTACCATGAGTATGGAATGTTTGTGGTGAAATGAGACAACTGAATGATGACCATGGTTTTATAGCAGAACAGCCTTCAGTTGCAGGGATCCAACTGCCAAACTGAACCAGTTTAGTGATGGTCCAGATTTCTGATGGTGGGTAACTCCTGGGTATAATAAACAGCATAATTTTCCCCAGAAACTCTGTTTTACCAGTTCCAGCAAGAATCTTTCACTGGAAATGTGATCTTGGAGAAACTATAGTAATATGGCATCTTTCGATACTTTGTCTGCTCCCTTTGCTGACAGTATAAAGAAAGCTGAGAGTCCCCTGAGCCATGCTGGTTCCCTGGCACTGACAGCCCTTATAAAGCACAGGAGCCCAGAGATTGCTCTGACCTGGCAAAGGAGCTACAGCTTTGCGCAATGGCCAGTTTCACAAACCCACCATTCTCACGGGCTCTTCTTTAGTGAATATTGAGTGTTTCACTTTTAGTGGCTAGTTTCCTTCCTAAATTAAATTATTTTAAAAATGTTAAAAATTTCTGTTTGTTTAATGTTCATTTGCCAATATTTTGACCAGCTGCTCTTGATACTGCTAACATTTCAGTTATTTTCACAGGGATCTGAATTATCGCTTTGATCTGCAAAGACTGATATCTTTCTAATTTTCCTCCCTTTATCTGTGATGCTATTAAAATATTTATAGTAACCATATAAGCCTCTCATTTCAGATGAGGACATTTCTAATTCTACACTTCCGACATCAAACTTCAAACCCAGCCTACAATAAGAATGTGAATAGGTGTTACACAGGCAGAAGGCAATGAGATAGTGTTATGTTACATTTTCTTTGGAGACAAGATGAACACTGTTTTTCAGCCATACAAGGAAAATATACATAAATATATATAAACAGAACTGCAGCTTAAAAAAAGTCGTATCTAACCTGATTCCATCGTTGTAAACTGGACAGCATTACTGAACTGATTGCCATTCCCAAGCTTGGTAAATGCAGAGACACTGATAGAATAGGGGCTGAATGGTTCTAATCCAACAAGGTTTGCCTCATGGTTTGAACCTGAAATGTTCTTAAGGAAGAAAAAATTACTAGTACACAATTAATCTCTAGAAACATTGTGGGTCTCAGCTTGAACCCAATGAAATGAACAGAAGATTTATAGCCATAGTTTTGCCTCTACTCTGAGGAGATTTCAGTCAAATATTGAAAACTTTTGTCACTTCCACACCACTTCATCAATCCCTCTCACCTTCTACTTCCTTGCTACACCTCTGCAGTAGAAGACGTCATGGGTCATAGCTTCCTATTTCTTTTACTTTACCTGAACTAGATACACAGATTGACAAAGAGCTTCAAAAAAACCAAACCAAACCAAACCAAAACCAACCAACCAACCAACCAACCCAAAACCAAAAAAGCAAAACAAAACAAAAACCAAACCAAAACCAAAAAAAGTTTAAAAACACAGTTCAATTCCTTTTAGCTGTTTTTCCCAGAGCATGCAAGGCATATTTTATTCAAATATTGAGAGAACTATAATAACAGCAGGGAAAGAGCTGAATTTCAGCAAGAAAATCTTGTGGAATCCAAGTTATCAGAGAATTATGGTGTCTAAATACAGTATTCCTATAAAAATTGCTCTGCTTGTCCTGCTGCCACAACCTAGATCTATTTTCTTGCCCACATAACATTACAAAACACGAAAGAATGTAGGGTAAAGCAGATGCATTCAAGTGCTCCAGAGTGTTTTTGCATTCTAATTGGATTTGAGACTGCCTCACATGGGCAGTGGAGAATAATCTTTAGTGGTCTCTTTGAACACCCAGAGAATGTGTTTCCGAAGGTAGCTGGCTGTAAAATTCACAGTTCCTCTCTCATAGGTTCATTGTGTTCTTTCAAGTATTATAGAAGAAACTGGGGTGATGCCAGTACTTCATTCCACAGTGGGGAATAACAGCAGACCTCATAAGGGGTAGCCAAGTAGGCCGCTCCATGGGGACTGGTTTCCAGTGCATACACTTAACAGCACACACAGTTTCCGTGCATGCTCAGTCTCTGTAATAAGAACTGTATTGGTGAGGGAGTTGGAGTAATGAAGCTCTTCATAGTCACACACGTACCTTAAACTGCGTGTCTCAAACTCCTATCTCACTGCAGTAATATCTTTTCCCTGCAGCTTTTACAAGCACCTAGGGTGAACTGGACTCACTATATAGTTTCTCTGCTTCAGATGCAATCCTGACCTTAGCTTGCTGCCTTTGCAGTTCACAGCACATGTCTTGATGCCACCCAGATTTAAGCAGATAGAAATGCCTTGATCAAATTTTGTATATCATAAAATCATAGAGTCATAGAATGGTTGGAAGGGACCTTAAAGATCATTCAGTTCCAAACTCAATGCTGTGAGCAGGAAACCTTCCACTAGACCAGATTAATCACAGCTTCATTCAACCTAGCCCTGAACATTCATATAGCAACCATTTCAGTTAAAATTTATTCAGTATTCTTATTCTGCAAAAATTAAAAAAAATTTGCAAACCGCTAAACAGTTTTTAACTATTTTTCAAGATGACTATCTGTCTTTTTGAATCTTGACAGTCCATAGATACTAAATAGCTAAACAAAGATAACCACAAAACAAGTAACTTCTGTAATTTTCTAACATCAAGCTTACACTGGAATATGAACTAAATATTAATAAATCTCATCATTAATGAAACATTAGAAGTTCAAAGCAAATTAAAATCTAACAATTTTTTTCTATCTAATTTTAAAAACTGAATTACAGTTATGGTGGTAGGGTAAGTAAACTGTCTTAGCAAACAGGAATTTAGAGGAGCTTCATAATTCTAGGAGCATAACAGACATTTAAAATATTTGTCATATATTTTGTTCCTAAAGCACAAAATAAATATTTTAAAAAATTAAACACTTTATTATAAACATACCTGATAAACTAGTTTTTCTGTGTTGTTTTGATAAATCTTAAAATTATATCTCATTATAACACCATTTGACTGGGGACTTGGATCCCATTTTAGCCACACGGAATCTGCAGTATAGTTGATAATGGTCAAATTCTGGGGTGGAGCTAATGGCACTACAAAAGAGAAATGCTTTTGACTTCCAAATGACAAAACAATCCAGGCAAAACAAAACAGTTTAGAGATGCAGGAGAAAATAGATATTTTTGTTAACATTTTTATACGAATTCAAGTTAACTAATTCCTTGCTATTTAAACCTTTTCCTTTCTCTTTGACATGCAACAAATTCCATTAATGCAGAATATAATCTTACTCAGTAAGAGATCTTAGAGATCTAAAAAGATATATTAATCATTTAAACATCCCCATTGCCAGAACTAAGACATTTAGCAAGTCATATTACATATGTTACTGGAATGTGATATACTTTGCTTCCTACATCATATATTGAGCACAACTCAACATATATTTACAGAATATGTAATTCACCATGCAGAGGAGGGGAGATCAATACACAGGAGACCTATGTGAATGTGTCAGAAATATTTCCATGTTTTATCATTTTTCAGTTATATAGGGAGATGAAGAGAAAAGTACTGTTGCTTGCTTCAAAATCCCTGAGACTTGGCAAACTATAACACATTCCAAAAACAAAATATATTTCTCCTTGGAGTTATTTTTGTAATCCCATGCAAAATGTGACCTCCTCTTGCACACTGTGGCAGGAGAAAGAGCTCTCAGAAAACACTTCCCTTGCAGTGTTTTCTTCTTCTGAAAGCTCTTCACTCACAGACCAATGGAAAATTAATCCTTCATCTCAACAGGTCTGGTGTTCAGACCTAAGATGGATGCAGTAACTTAGAGTTGATATTTCAAAGTTGGTTACAACTGAATTTGCTCACCTGACTCATCTGTGTAAAACTGAAGCACAGCAGATGGACCAGGTCCTTTTATTGTTCTTGCAGCTGCATAAATGCTATACAATGTGAATGGTAGAAGGTCTTCCAAGACGATAAAATTATTGGTGGTAGAGAATGAGTTATTCCTTTCTGGTCCAAATAAATTTAAATCATAACTTATTATGATACCATTTGGCTTAACAGGGGGGTCCCATGAAAACATAACTGAGGTAGTTGAGAGATTTGAAAATGTTTTGATTATAGGTGCTGATTCTGGGACTACATGAAGAAATAAGAAAGAGAAAAATAGGGATAATGTCAGGAAAACATGTTACAATGAAAAATTCTGTTTCATGGTGTCAAAATAGAAATGTGTAGCAGTCATTTGTGTCATTGTATACCCAAAAAGCTTCAAGTTAACATGACAAAAATAAACAATATTTTTGTTTCCTTTTAGAAAATTGTTTGGGTTTTTTACTACATTTCCATAGAAATGAATAAAATATCTTTATCTTACCATCTTCATCAGTTCTTATATGCAGACTTAGAGCATGCTGTTCAGAAGATCCTTTATCAGTGGCTGGTGTGATTTTCAGAATGTAATCGGTATATTTCTCCAGATTGTCAAACATTATGCTTGTGTTGTAAGTAAGGAAAGACAAAACCTTGCTGGTTCCCAGTTGCATTAAACTTAGAGAAACATGAAAGAAGACTAAGCCATTTGGCTGGGATGGTGGAAGCCAGCTTACATTCACAGAAGATGAGGAAATGTTTTGATAGACCAGATTTTCAACAAAACCTTCTGGGACTATGAGAGATAATACACAAAAAATTAAATGCATGGATTACGGTAATGAAACATCCAAACCCAAACCAGAAATCACTCTTCGAAATATGATTAGTCTGAAAATGTCACGTCACTTGTCATATTTTTTACAACTTATAAAAATAACTTATGTTTCAATATCAAAAATAAAATACTTTGGAGGCATATATGAATAATCATTTATGTTAAATTTTTTTAAGAAAAATTTATTAATGATTGTTTAAGACAATATTTTTATTGCTTGTGAACTACATTCTTAGTATTACAAAGTAAAGACTCAGATCAAAATGCCTTCTTTGAAAAAAAAATACTGCAGCATTGAAAACCACACTTACTGTTTTGTTTGGGTTTTTTTACATTGGCATCATAACAGTAAAATAATTTTCAAGTTAGAGAATGTTTAATAAATGTAAGCACTGATATACACTGAGTGTTAAAAAAGTTATTAACTTACTATCCTGATCTGTATACACATCTATTTTTTCACTGGTTTTGTTTCCATCTCCAAAAGCTGTACTTGCAGTTAACCATAAAATATAATGGCTGTATTTTGCCAAGTCATCCAGAACTACAAACGGGGGCATACTGATGTTGCTGTCATTACCATAAGCTGTGAAATTCTAAAGGGAAAAAAAAAGGATAATGTTGCCATTGAAAATGTTGTTTATTCATTGCCATTGAAAATGTTATTTATTCATTGATTTCTCTTTCTAGTTCCCCATTTAGCTGTCACCATCACCACCACCAGATATGATTTACCATAGCTTTCAGGAGACATAAATCTACACTTTGACTTCTATTGTTACTCCTTGTAAGTACATAGAGTATGTAATGACTCCCCCTATTCTTTGTAGTTGTTGAATGCCAATTCACAGATTAAATCTGTAATATTACAATGTGTTTATCCATATTGCATCAAGAATGTACCATCCACTAATTGCTCATAGATTAAATGATCATACATGTTACTGCCTTGCCTGATCATCATGAAGCAAATCAAAGGACTTCTCTCACTTTATTCTTTTTTTATGAGAGTAGATTTTGAATTTAAAACTTCCAGCAGCAGAGATGTTACTGCACCACTTCATAAACTGTTCCTTTTGTTAGTTGTCCCTTCCAATAAAAACATGCTGTTATCTCTAATGCAAATGTCTATACCCAGTGGACCATGTTAAACTCAAGACATCAACAGAAAATTTTCCTTTGTTCAGTTACTTGCTAATGAAAGGATTGCACCAGAATCTAATTCCATTTTCCTTTGCACAATACTAAAATATCACTAAAATTGTGACTGTATCAGCAGGTTAGTGCTTTAGATCAGCCCCTCCAAGAAAGCTATTCCTGTTTAGAATCAACTCTTTGGGAAAAGGAAAAGAAAAAATATAAATCAGATTATTTATGTAAGGTCAGCTTTACCTCATAACTGAATGTGTTGAATCACCCACCTCATTATGGGAATCTAATTTAGATGATCCAACACAATTTGGTTCATGATTTGAAAACTGTTGAGAGGTTATGTAGCCCATGAGCATATTCAGCTCCAGCATTGTGCAGGAAGTCAAATTTTTGCTCCTGATTGAGAGTGTCAGTATTATTCCTCTGTGGCAGTCACATTGCCCCATTGAGCAGATGGCATGGGCAGCACTCCTCAGGATCAAAGTCCTAATTTTTCTACATAGCAATATTTTCAGGGGATACTGGATTTCGCCCAACACCCTGATGAATTGACTAGTACACATTCCAGTTATTTGGCCTGCTTCCTATTTTTGGTGTTAGATCTTATCTACAACCCCCACCTCTTTAAAATCAAAGCTAGCTTTCAACTAAATTCTTTTCTAAAAGAGAGAGGCTATGAGAGAAGACTTACTAAAGCAGAAAAATGCAACAGTAATGTTTGAGTATTAAAATTCAGAAATATCACATAAGAACAGAGGAATGCTGAAACTGCATACTAAAAAATGGGTTATATTTCCCATGAGGAAAGTTTCTACTGAAGAAGTCACTGTAATATGCTCTACCACACAGTTGAGTCAGTACTGTGCAAATTGATAGTCCAGTATCCAATTTTGATCTCTGTCACCAATACATATCAATTATACATCTAATGCAACACTTCGCCAATTTTTTGTACAGACAAGATCATTTTATTTTTGCAGAAAACAAGAAGTCACACTCTCATTCAGTGATTTTCATGCTAATATCTGAAGACCTAGTTTTGCCTACAGTCACCAGTACTTAGATAATATAAATAAGTAAATAGTTTGTTTGGCAATGAAAATTTAAACCTTTGTTTAGAATGCAGAACAGAAGCTGCATGAATTGGTAGTATAAGTTTCTATATCCAGTCTTATTAACTGACTTAAAGCACACCATTAGTTTTGTCTGAATGATTAGGTTAAATCAATATCAGTCACAATACAAAAACATTCCACCTTAATATATGATTTTCTTCTAAAAGTAGTTTGAATCTCGCACTGTCTTCATAACTAACTGAAAAGGCTGTGAAGAGCTTTGCATTACACTTGCATAGCTTAAGATACGGGAAACAGAAAATAGAATTCTAAGGTATTTAATTAAACTTTCTGATGCTTAAGCACAATCGGACAGAAAATATCATCTAGCCCAGAAGAAGCATTCTAATACCATCCTGTTGTTATTATTATTAGATACTGTAATGAGAAATAATTAATAATTTATAATAACAATATCTAACAATCAGATTTTTTTTAATAAGACCTTACATAATTATCTGAGTTTTCAAGGTAAAAATGTCAAGGGTACCACATCAAATTTTGATTCTAGATTTAATGGGAGTTTATTGGTACGAACAGCTGAAAATTCAACTCTTAGTTTAAAAAGCATACCTTTACAATTTAGCCAGCTGTCTGGCAGTTAAGGACTTAGTGAACCAACGTGAACATTATAACAACAGGGTTTTGTTGGTTCAACAAAAACTATTTTAAGAGAGAGTTCCTTTACTGTGAAGAGCCCAAGGAACAGGGATTATCTCAAACTTCTGATATGACAAAATATTAGAAAAAAAAAGGAACACATAATTAGGAGTAACAGTGAGCAGGAAGAACTGTGTGGGTACAAACTGAGAAAAGACAAAACTTGTACTAATTGTACCCTGGGGATAGAACACTATAGGAAGTTTTACAATTAACTGTGGCTCCAGATGAAAGCAAACAGCTTAGGATCTTTGGCTACAGCTGAAGAAATTCTTCCTCAGTCCCTTTCTTCATCCATACATGAAAGAAGTTTTGACATAGCAAAGTATCAGATTATTAAAAGCAGCTAAGTGTAAGCAATACACACAGGCCATGAAAGTGTCAGCAGAATGCAGTATATTCTTCAGGAAGCAGCAGATATTTCCAGTGGCATAAAACTGTAATTAGTTGCACACAGAAAATGCAGTGCTGCTGTTCTTCACTGTTAACCTTTTTCCCCTCTTCTGCTTTCTTTTTTAGGTTCATCTGACTCTTGTTTTGAGTCAGAGGATCACATTCGGGACTCTGGCAATCAGATGAGAGTGGTGACACTGTGAGGGCTAATCCAAGCCATCCTTCAAGGAGCATAATGCACATTGTTGCAGTAGCAACCTAAGCGAAGATATTTCCTTTTTGTGTGCTGCACCATTCTGAGGCCATGTATTTGCAGTGTATTTTTGGGAAGTTCCCCTTTTTATCCCTGCTGTGGTCATACTGGTGAAAGAAAATGTTTGATTGTTAATATAGCACATTGTTTGCATCCCTTTTTCTGCATCCCAAGGGTAATCCAAGTTGAATTTCACTCTGAACTGTATCCAGTCATGGTCACTTCAATTGGCTTGAAGTAGACATTGGATGATTTGGGTTTTGATGTTCAGTTGCTTGAAAGGGTTGTAAATTTTTTCAGTACTTAGCTCCTGGTTCCCCTGGCAGAGTAGGACAATTGTCATCTGTACTGAAATTCCTACACTGGGGAACTTTATCCAAGCATAATTTTATATTCATAATTAGCACCTTTCCCACTTTCTTGCTAATCAAAACACAAGTACATAGAAATTGAATAAAAGAGTTTATTCAAGTCAAGGATATCTTTCACAGATCAGTATTCAGCTATGAGATAATTACTTCCATAGATTTTTTGACTTTTTTCCTCAATAAGACTGAGAATGTGGGCAGTGTGATTGCTTCAAGCAGCAGGCAAGGCATTGTGGAGCAAAACGTGCAAAGCTGCTATTGCAAACAGTGAAAGCAGTGTCACAGAGAAGTGATGTGAAGAAAAGGTTCAGTGTCATGTCATCTGCATATGAAGTGTTCTTTGTCAGCATACATGCTATATCTTTACTGCACTAGAACACAACAGCAAACATATACCAAAAGGTAGCATTTTCCCTAGACCTATGTCGGCAGAAGTGTTGGCCCTGTGTATATAATGGTTTCTTCTACTTGCCTACCAGTCATTCCTCCCTCTCTGACACATTTTCTTTTACAACCTATCAGAATCCCCATAGAAACAGCCCACTCATCTACCAAAATCCTCAAATCCAATCTCCATCACTAAATATTTCCTTCTGCTGTTCTGGTTCTGAAGCTAGGTCTGAGCATCCCCAGCCTTCTGGCTGGGCAACTGCAGCATGATTTTTCATGTAGACCTATAGAGCAAAGAAACTATACATTATTTTTCTGACCTATGAAGGTATATAACATTTTCTTATTTAAAGAAAAACTGGTTTTCCTGCAAGTTTCTTTATAATGTCAAGGAGAAAACCACATTTTTAATCTCAGGTGTTTTGCTATGTTTGTGGGGTTTTTCCCCTAAACAAAATGCTTCACTCTGCAGTTACTAACTTCCTGGTTTTATCATATTAACACTCTGTGGTTTTTATTAATTAGGTTTTAATGTTCCTGAGGAGTTTGAGAATGTGTGATAAGGGAGAAATTGAGACAACAGAATAACACCAGTTTTGGTATGACTTTTGTGGCTACTTCAGATTATGCCAGCATTGGTATATGTTAATTTTCTTGATATTCTTCAACAAGGGTGGTTTTTCAGGCATCTAGAAGACATGGTTTAAGACTTGGACCCCTGACATTATTTCCTGACAAAGAAGCAGATTAAAGACTGGTAGTGTTTGGCTGCCTTCAACCACACATCTGAGAAGTCTGGGTTCCCTGAAATATGAAAAGATCATCTCCTTTTTCAATTGTCATAGATAATTTCTAAAACTGAAAATACAGTTTGGATAAACAAAAGCAGAATGGTGACCTCGATGTAGAGTGTTCTAACTGATGATTATTTCTTTCCAAATGTGTGCAATAAAAAACTTAGCAACAGACTCACAAATACATGGTTATATTTCTAAGTTCCAGATGGTCATAAGCTGCATGTTTGAATACACTTATGTAGCTCACAACTGTCTGTATATGTCATATATGTATATGACATATATTCACATATCAGACTGACATTCACACATGCATTTTTCTGTTGTAAAAAGAGAAATATAAAATATCTGACAGAAATGAGTTGCCTATTTTCATCTGTTTGAAATCTGTCCTGCATCCACAGGAATTCCAAGGTATAGGACAGAAATGCAATGTAGATATGGTAGTTGTCATGTGTAAACAGTGAATGGACAGGATGTGAAGGGCAAAAGTTAAGGGAAGCAGACAGATTAAAATTCAATCATGATTTGAGAGATTTATGGTCATATTCCAGGGGCAGTAAGAGACAGATGCAACAGCAGCTGAAACCTATCTTCTGGTGGCAGAGGGATAGGATAAAAAATCAAAGTTAAAAGGATGAAAAAGGTAGTTTCCACACACAGAAGTAGAGCTACTGTCAGCACTTTTCTGCCATCCACTACATAGTATGCCAGAGCAGTGGTAATTTCCACTTGTGCCACCATTTTTCCCTGCCCAACTACATCACACGATAATGAAACTGGACCCTCACCTGGCTGGACCAACACTATTCTGCTTCATCTTCCCTATCTTCCTCCTTTATTTCCAGAGTCTTGGGCCCATCCAGAGGGATTTTAGCTCTCAGTGTATCAGTTTCACCTTACTCATTCACCTCAGATTTCCACCTTCCTAAAGGCAAGACTAGTCCAAGTCCATAGTGGTCCTCTAAAATCTCCTGAGATTTCTAAGAATTAGATAAATGCAGACGTTCTTCATAGGATAGGTTACTTCATGTAATGCACTGAAATAAAGGTTTCTCCAAGGATTTTTAAAAAAAAATGGTGTTGCTATCACAGTTTGTGCAAACAGTCTGCCATCTGAACTGTAGCCCCGATTTTAATATCAGAATATGAATTCATGGCACAATCTTGCTTGCATATGAAACTATGCAGAGCCTGACAACCACACAGCTTCGCAGAAGTCAGAGAAATGTAAACACTGAAGTATGTTAGCAATTATTCAGTCACAGGTTTTTGTAATATTTGTGAATATTTCTTCTAGTTATTCTCAAATGCATGTATACCTCATCCTGGACATATCTTGAGCATAAAGTTATGCAGTAGAGGTTATTTTCCATGCATAAGTTTCTTAATGAATTTATATTTTTTCTTTGCTTCCATATGTGTAAAACTTGTGATCAAAAACGTGTAAGGAAAGCTTATTTCTCTTATTATATTTTTGTACCATAATATATTCATAGAAAAGAAAACAGAAAAATTATATACACAATGAATAAGTGTGGTGCATAAATAAGAATGAAAGTAAACAGAACAAAAAATCCTACAAGGAAATGTGTGGATCACCAAAATGTTACTTATAACATTTTGTCCTTTAAGCTTTAACATAAAAATCTCAATATCTTTGAATCAATCTACTGAACAGTAATTTTCTTTTGACAATAAGAAAAATATGAAATTAAAATATGTTCCCTACTTTCACATTAACTTCTTATTTTTAAGTCTGTACAAACATTATTTAAAAACTAAAACCAGAACTGTTACAGAAATTTATTCAAATTGATAGATTAGACTAAAATAAACACTCATAAGGTGTGACATGATTGTAATAGGTCTTGTGTCTATCCTTTACATATGTTAAGAGGATATATGTATTAAATGTATGTGTGCATACATGTATACATAAGTCTTGCATAATAAAATATTACACAAAATGTATTGGCTTTAATGTTTAATTAGATGAATGCTCTATGAGATGCACAATGTAACATGATTACAAGATGTGCTTCTGTCTTTATAAGTTAAAAAATTACATAATGATAAAAGAAATATTAAAAAACATATATTGGTAGCTAGAAAAATTGAGTTAATCTTTAATGAATTATTAGAACATTTCATTGACTTCTACAAAAGAAGAATATAAAAATAAACTTACCTGTATGAATATTCCTGAATTATTTTTGAAATAAACTGAGTAGTACAGTATATTTCCATTGGGTTTTTGGGGAGGAGACCAGAATAGCATTATTGATGTGGAAGTAAGGTTTCTGTATGCAACATCTTTCGGTGGATCACTTGGTGCTGGAAAAATGTTGAGTTTTAGCATACCTAAAGCGTTGTACCTCAAGATTTTTGTACATTTTAGTGCCTGAGAAACATCCACTATAGATTTGACAGCATCCTATGTCAAATTAAATGTATTTCTGGTTATGGTATAAAAACTGCTTTTGGACATGATGAGGGAAAAAAGCATATGTAAATGAATTTTTAAAACACTTTTTCAGACACATTTGTATTTAGCTGCATTTTTAAACAGATAGTGTTTTCGTATAGAATTTTTCCTGTACTTACAGCTTTGGATGTCTAATTTGCTGACATGGAACTTCATGAAGTTACATCTCTATACTCCAATTATAGATGATAGGTTTTATTAGCTTAAACAAGGCTGAGAGAAATATAAGGCTGAATGAAAATAGAGGTTCATACTATATTTAAACTTACCTCCTTCAGAAGTTCTGAATGTTATAGTATCACTTTTTATATTGCCATCTCCAAATCTTGTACTTGCTGTTAGGTAAGCACTATACTCATAGTTATATTCTAGGTCTGTGAACTCCAATGATGTTTCTGTTACATTAACACTCCTTTTTGACATTTTATTCCTGAAGAAAAAGTATTTTATTAATAATATACACACACCGTTTCCATATGTATACAACTATAGTGTATGTTATAAAATTGAAAAACGCAACACTGTGGTAAATACAAGTATATTAATCTTTCTTTTTGTCTTTTATATTGAAAAGCTCACTTTTGTACCCTTGCATCACAAGAGGGCTCCTAATGTTGTTTCTTAAAAAACACCCAAAACCTCCACATTAATATATTTGCAAATTACAACAACAAAAAAATCAACAAAGACAATGATTGTATGGAATATTAAGGAGGAGCATTTCCATCTATGAACTCCTATGAAATTTTTATGTGGTACCCTTGGGAAGGACACAGTAGGGCATAACTAAACTGTCTCTCTGGACAGGAATAGCGAAATATAAAAAGATTATAGCAGGGAGCATGCCCTACTGTGACTCTGTGAAATTGGTCAGAAGGCTGAAGTTATAAATGGAATAATAGAAGATGATATGGAACAGGAATTAGCTGGTGCTGAGTTAATTCTGGTGGAATGTAGCAGGGGATCAGAATGGAACTCCAGTAAGGTCAAAACCCGCCTAGAAAGACTGTAAGATGTAACATTAATAAAATGCTGGTATTAGCATAGGTATGAAATGGTTATCAGAAAGTAAAATAAGATACGAGAAATAACTAACTTGAATTCAAAAAGTCTGCTATTCCTTGTAAAGTTAATGCAATCTTTTAAGAAAAAATAGGAGGAAAAAATCCCACTATCAAACATTCCATTCCTGTAAAGATTTCTGTATGCGTAGGTGCTCTGCGTCCCCAGTAGAATTTCACACAGGGATGATTATTTGATAACTAAAATCAAATATCTTGCTCCAGCAATCACTATGGCACTCTTCACAAATGAAAATGGGTTCTAATTCAAAAAAAAAAAAAAAAAAAAAGAAACCAAAAAGGGAAAGGTGATACAAAATTATTAGATGGGCCACTTTTCATCCTTTGATAAGGAATTAATGTCCCATTAGCAAAGATCACCATCTAATATATCTGAAATAAAAACAACTGGAATGAGAAAATGTGTGAGAATGAAAAAAAAATTCTTTCTAACCCTTTCAGATTTTGAGTGGAATTGAATGTCACTTGACATGGGAAATTTTCTTGGTAACAGAGAAAGTTAAAATTTACATTTTTCCCAAACTTCTGACACTTTTAATAGTCTGTAAAAAGATACAAAAGGTTGCAGCTGCAGTTATCAAATTCTATACAAAGACATCTTTTCCTGGATCTTTGCCCAATATATTCTTAGCATGGAAAAACATATCTGGTTATAATTCAGGTAAGAAGAAAATCCACTGCTTAGTGCTGCAAACATTTCTGCTCCCAGAAGCTGCATTCTTACAACATCTTAGTTGGCAAAAAACATTTCAACAACCAGACATAGGAAGAAGAACAAAAGTTTGAGGTGTTTCAAGAGATGATTTTCTGCTTAGAAACAAATGAGATTGCCATAAAAATAAGAAAACACTGATCAAAGTGAGTGCAGTCTCTGCAGACAATGAGAAAGAAAGTACATAGCAGAATCAGCTAAGCCAAGGAATTTTACTGAAGAAAAAATAATAAAAAGTTTTAAATCAGAACTTTCAGAAATGCAGGCAACAGAGGTTCTAAGAAATTGCATACTTTCAGTTGACAAAGGCAGGTACCATATTTTCTTAAAAATCTTTACCTCAAAGTAGATCTAGTCAATAATTATCTGACAGAAGTTTGCTGAAAAGGATAATGGCAAAGGACAACAGCTATGTAAAAATTTGGCAATTTTGTAAATATGCCTTTAATACTCCAGAATTACAGACTTAGGCAGTATGAGTTTGTAGATTCAAGGTACACAGGCTTTACTACCTGCTAGCACCCAAAACCTCCTTGCCCTGTGACAAATACCATTAAATACAACACTGAAAACATTCCAGATGTTACTCTTTCTATTCTAGTAGTTGTAGATACTTGTTCTGGATTAGTTAAAGAAAAGTTACCAAATTCTCTGTAACTGTTGCAGAATATTTAAGTGAAGTGGAGGAACGTTTATTTAACATCCGTAGTAACCTTCATCATTCTGCTTTATTGAGAAGCACTGGGATTAACAATCTCCTCCAAAATACATTGAATACCTCCCAAAAGTAGCAACTGTATGGCACAGCAGTTTATCTTGTCAAACCTCACACTGCAATGCATTTTATGGAATCATATAGACAATTCTGTTAAATACTTAAAATTCCTCTCCTTCCTCCACCCCTCCCTCCCCCTCAAGGAAGCAGTGAAGTTATGACCCCTTTGAATGCAATGGGAGTTTTTCTCCAATGTCCTTGTCTTAACATGATACCTAAAGCCCCTCTAATTTTAGATATGGCACAGTATGACAAATAAGAGAGAGTAAGGAGAATATGGAATTAAGAGGGACAAGGTCTACTGCAAAAAGTTACATGGTTACTTAAGTAAAATATTTAGTCGGATCAATTAAGAGGTATTTTTAAAAAATAATTCTTGCTAAATCCTTTGTCATAATAACAAAAGCGGTAAGTTATAAGAGAATATAAGGATGAAAAATTGTATAACCTCAAGTCTTTGAACACAGCTTGAATCAAAACCATAGCCCTTATCATGAAGTAACTCTTCTCTAGCTCAAGGACAGTCATTAATTTAAATGCGGTTTGTCCTTAAAGAGCAACAGACATTCCCAGTACAGTAGAAGTAACAAGAGAAGACAAATTTAACTTTTCTGGGAAGAAGAGCTCACTCCTGTTCATTTTATCACCAACTTAACTAAACCTGTAATTAAAAAAAAAAAAATCAGTAGGAACTGAGGCCAAACCCTATCTTGAAACTGCCAAGTAACAATAAAATAATAAATGTAAGCTCAGTAGTAGTGTGTTTATAACAACTGTGGATTTGCACATCTGGTACACATCTTATAAGGTGCACTTCAATATTTACTTCCTGCACCTTAGTAGTGGCAATAACATGGTACAGCGTGAATATAATATATCAAAAGCTATCAATAACAAAATATTTTCAATCCTAGTAGAAGTTATAGATAGATCTTTGAAGAGATGCCAAACTATGTTATACAGAGAATAGGACAGAAGCTGCAAGTTTTAAAGTGACAAAATTCCTTTTTAGAGGTGAAAAAATATCACAGGAGGGATGATGGAGAAAAAATAGGAAAAAAAGAAAAGATAGAAAAAACCAAAACACAGCAAATGAATAATATCTTTAAAAAATACTCATTTGCTATGAATGTAATAAATACAAAATATAGCAGTAGACATAACTGATAGCACATACAAAGACTCTGAACATGGCTCTTACACACTTTTTATAAAAAGGGGCAATATTTTTCAGTTTTAAGCCTATTTCAAATCTCCTTGACAATTCAGCATGGGCTTGTGCCTTGCCTTGCAGTAGGTCTAATCAGAATATAATGAAAATAGTCACCATGCTCTAGTATAAAATCTAATTCATTTACTATAATATAACCTTTGGAAAATTCTTACAAAATATTTAATACCCCAATTTTCATCTACTCTAAATTTGTATATACAAAAGTCTAGTATTGTAAGTGCTGAATGAATATTCGTTCTCCAAAAACATGTAATCAACACATTGTGTAAGAAAACCCCCACATTCCTGATGGGTTACAGATTAATATTTATTCTCAGAACTACTTCCAGAAAATCTTACCAGACATAAACTGTGTAATAGAGGATAATTCCATTTGGCTCCAAAGGAGGTTTCCATGACAACTTCACAGTGACACCCAACAACTGTTTTACAGAGAGGGATTGTGGAGGAGAACTCGGAGCTATAAAATGAGAGAAAAGGACACAACATCTTGTTAAACAGTTAAGATCAATGGGATATGCAGCATCCTTAAATAGGTTTTTAGTTATTTGTGATGGAAAGTGAACTTTGTATCACATTGGGACAGTATCCATCAGCTAATGTTAAGGCGCAGCTTCTTTTCCTTTTTCTAACAGATGATAAAAGAAGATTTTGCATGGTGGTGTTAGAACATCTGTTTCTGTGATTCAATGGAAAAAACACTTCATGAGAAAACAGAGTAATGGGTAGGTTACAGTGATTCCCCTACTGTCCAAGTATATTGCTGTAAATTTTTTCCCCATTCTAATAAAAGCGAAAGCTTTATAGTATGAACACATGTAAAATATAGCATAATAGTTCCCCTGAGGAAGAAGAGGTGCTGTAAAGAATTATACAAAGCACCAAAAGGTGGAAGAATGGATAAGCATAGCATTGAGAGACAATAAAATTGTGGGATACTGAGCAGCAGTAAAATTTATTCACTCATCAAATAAGGACCACATTCATACATTTAACATATCACAGTGGTAAATGAAAAGACAGGCATTTACTGAGACCCTTAAAATTAATTTTAAGTTGACCTCTACATGACACCATACCACGACTGCGCGGGGAAACATTGTAAGTAAACAAAAATATTAGACCATGTTTGATTTCATTCTAAAATTTGTATTAGTTTTGCTGAGGAAAATATACCCATGTATGCATAAGTGATACTGCTTTGTATTAGCATGTTATTAAAAAATAAATATTTTTCTTCATCTTGATTCATGGACCTATGTATCACTATGAAGTAATATTAGAATTACTTTTGTTTTTCTCAAATTAAACCAAAGAGCATCATGCACTAAAAATTCAGGTCATAGCTGTAGTCATGCATGAAAATGGAGAATATGAGCATAACTATTAGCAAATCTATGAAACATTTGGTCTGAACCTTGGAACACTGTGTTCCTGTGAATAAGGAACATGTGGTGTATTATAAATATTGTTGTTTTTCAGTTCTTGCTCCTTCTTTCACTATCTCGAAAATTGGCATAAAGATTTTATAACTCTTTACATTTATGAAAAAATATTTTGTATTTTTCATGAACAAAGGTTCACTGTATTTAGTGAGTGTCTGTATTTACTAGATAAAAATTTTGACAGCTGTATTTAGTGTTTTATTTTTTATATTATCCTTAGTGACTATATAATAAAAGATCTGTCATACGGTGAATGTCATGTCTTTTTGGCATGTCTAGTTCATTCTACAATTCTTCTTCAGAGGATATTTTTTTGCTAAAGAATAGAAACTACATTGCTCTGTATAAAATTACTCTGTGAAAAAGATAGATTTGTCCAAATCAGCTGTTTTCAGTCTGCTCCAGCAACGTGACTCTTGAGCAAATGTTTTTTACTCATAGTGTGAATGTAAGCCCATCAACATCTTGAAGATATGCAATGATCCATTATCATCAATAGCTGAATTTGAGGCAAATCAGTGTTTCCTAAAACATGAAAAGAGACTTAATCTAGGAAAGGCTGGAGGGACATTTGTGTCAATGCCACTTTAGTATAGATTCTCAGAGACTTCCTCTTTAAACAATGGATAGAGAGAGACATAGGTTTTTCCAAAATGTGTCACAGCACCTAATTTAAGATTTTTGCTTCGAATTGATTTTCATGATTCTCCCTGCAGAAACTATAGAGGTGACCAAGGATAACTTCCTATAACTAAATTGTGTACTGAAAGTATAAATAGTTGTAAGGTTCCTCTGCTGATTTGTGACCTACTGTACAAATTAGCAGGGGTTGCAACAAATGGGTTCTGTCCTCAGCCTGCAGTGCAGAACACTCCCCTGCTCATTCTGGGAGTCCAGTGCTACAGATTATGGACTTTGAGCATTTTCATAATGTGAATAATTCTACATGTATCTACGTGTATCTGTACACGCATCTGTTTAGAAGAATACAAAAATCACCAAAGAAAAAAAATCCGCATAAATGTCCCTGGACCATTCAAGCTGCCTTTTCTTGATTTTCCCTTTCCTCAGCTCTCATGTGTCTGAAAAACCAAACACAATATTTAATTCTACTGTGCAGTGTCTTAGATTATGATATTATGAGTAAATTTAGATTCTTCAAATTCATAAGATATTGGTAAGACCAAATGTCCATGCACAGCAATTGTGCCATTTCACATTGCTTGTACTGGTAAGTATATTGATAGATGGAGAGAGAGAGAGAGAGAGAGAGAGGCATAAAGTATGTTCATGTGTAGACAGACTGACACAGATAGCAATAGAGAGACATAACTGCCAAAAAAGTGCATAGGACTTAAACATAACTGACATGAAGTGTAAGAGTAATTTAAGAATACAGGCAGACAAGAATACATTGCAACTTCTGTTCTGACTTACCGTCTTCATCAGTCAGTATATGCAGAGGTGAACTACGAAGGCCCTCCCCCATTCTGGTACTAGCAGACACTTCTACAGTATATTCTGTATATTTATTTAAATCTAAATAAAAAAGAATAATTCAATGAACCAACCATTCAGTGGAACAAATCAGTTTTTTAATGGACCATAAGTATTTTTGAAGTGCTGAGTAGGCCTATCACTTACACTGACCTGTGTCATTAGAGATGGAAATAAGCATTAAGAAAGTTTGAACACAAAGTATTTTGCAAAAGCAGGGACAAAGCTCTAATTACCAGTTTATACTTCATATTCCTAGAATGCTTTTCAGTTTGTTCTTGATTGTACTCTGAAAATGTAGTGGTTAAGATATTAAGCTCCCAGCATTAACTGCTGCATCATGCCTCAGCAATAGTGACAGAACTTAGAAAAAGAAGCAAAGGTGAGTGGAAAGGGAAGGTTTTTATCCAGAATTTTTTGTCCAGTATTTTTACCCAAATTAAGATCAGAAAGATATGTTGGTGATGTGAGGGTTTACTTCATTACAATGATAGATCTGCAAAGATATCTATTGAAGTTCCTTGCAGTTTAAACATCTAAAATAGAATGGATATACGTTAGACTTTATATCATTCATGGCCCATTTCACCACATTACACAGTGGGTTATTTCTCAGACAGGCAGCAAAAAACTTTATATAAGGACAAGCAGGATCACGTCCAACCAATGAACTAATTTATCTCAATCTGTCTGTTGAACACTTCCCAGAACAATTTACAGTTGCCATAAGTTCCAGATCATTATATGCTGACCTGTAATACGTAATGTCAGAAGAGTAGTGTTTATAACTTTTTGCTCAGTCCCATTAGTCCTCTTGAGATATATTGTGTAGATCTGTATAATTCCATTGGGAATGGACGGTGGAAAAAATGATACTTCAATTTCCATGGATGAAATGTTCCTATAGGTTATATTTTCTGGTGCAGAATCAGGAACTAGAAGAAAAAAAATATATTCATACAAGATTTCAGTTAGTTTCATTGATTTGTGAAGAATTTCTGTAAAGTGGTTTAAAAGAAACATTGCAAACCTTTGGACTTGTATTATATTTTTCTGTATAAAATACATTTTAGAAGAGGCTGAATTGGAAGATCAAAAACACATAGCAGACAGACACCATAACAACAAGGTCATTTAAAAAAATAATTGATAGAAATCATCCTAATATGAGAGATTAAAAAAATCTGGAGCATGACACTAAACGTTCCTTCTAATGCTCCAGAACTATCCCTGCAATTCTTCATGTTAGCTATTGTTATGAGGTTTTCCGTGTTGTGCTGCCACAATTAACAGCTTGCATCATCAACATGCATTTTATTTCTTTTGCCCGGGTCATCTATATAAACCCTTGTATGAAAAAAAGGAAGCCTTCTGTAAGAGCCCTGAAAGCATGTCCTCTCAGAGGTTTGGCTGTTGGGGCTCAGGGCCAGCTTAGCAGTAGTGTCAAAGGCTGCCTCCTCCTTCCTTATGACAGGCTCCCAGGCAATGCTGCAGGGAGGCTGCAGCTGGGGCTGACCACTGGCCTCTGGGAGCTGCTTTCAGAGGTGGCTCTTGTGCTTTGCCCCTGTTTGAGCTACAGTTCCTGCTTCATCGCTGCCATGGCTGCGCTTGGCCATGGACCCACTGATGAGTTCCCTGACTTGCAGACTGACATGGCAGTCTGGCTTCAGCTCCACCATTACAGACCTGCCCAGCTGTCACTGAACTGTGTCTGACTTAGCACCACTGCACCTGCTAACTTTCTTTCCTGGCTTGACCTCAGACCTGCCTTGACCTCAGACCTGTCTCATACATGTGAAGCGTTGGCTCCCCATCCCTTATGTAGCAGCTGGCCTTGCTGTTTTGCTTGGTTTATGAAAGAGAAAAAACAGGATTCAAACTTACTGCTTTGCAAAGCAATCAAATACTTCTAAAACTAATTATTCTTATCTCCTGGGCATCAAAGGTTATCATAAAGCAGTTTATTCTGGAAAATTTTCATTTTAAAAAACATATAATATACTCACCAGTTTCAGAAGTTCTGACCAGAAGTGGGAAAGATGACTGATTCCCATGACCAAGTCTGGTGAATGCCCTTACAGAAATATTGTAGAGAGTATATGGCTTCATTTCACTCAGTGATATACTTGTAGATGAGGTATTTTTAATAGAAAAATCATTGGAATCACTGTACAGAACTTCATAGTGAGTTATGAGACCATTAGGCTGCTCAGGTGGTAACCATTTCAGATTTATTTCTGTTGCACTTACATTTATTAGTTCTATGTTTCGAGGTGGGGAATCTGGTTCTGCAATACAGAAATCAGGAAAAAGCCCTTTAAATTAACTGAATATAGGGCTAATAGCATAAACCTATTGGATCCTAACATTTAAATTAGCTAATTGTACCAAAAGGACTACACTCACTCTCTCACTCTCCTCAAAGCCTTTTTATCTCAGTTAATTTCAGTATGTCTTCTTTTCCACTAATAAAACTAAGTGTCTTTCTGAGTCACAACACTTGCTTTTCAAGAATTTCTTTTCTCATCTACTTTTAAATCTATCTAAAACTGCATTTTTTAGGAAAAAAAATCTCTTCTCTCTACTGATCTCATGCAGACTGATCCTTCAGATCCTCTCATTGTCTTCCTCATATTCAGTTCTTTAAATTTAGATTCATGCCCTCTTACTGCTTTCTACATAAATAGCCACCCTTCTTATTTCACTCAATCAACTATTGAACAACAAAAGGGACTGTATGCACTGTAACTAAATTCCTTTTTGTGACCCTGGTGTAAATCTTGGTGTGAAGGTCATGCACAAAACAAGTCCAGCTCTGGGATAATGTGTTGGCTAAATCTACTGGCAATGTATGAGTTCATGTGGCTCCAGCAAGCTAATAAAGCACAGAAGCATTGAAGGAGTGAGTGGGCTGCACTTACGAATAAAATCAACTCTGAATGTCAACTTTGATTCCTCTGAAGGCTTCATCACTTCACCCCTGAGATAACCTGTCTATAAAATTAAAAAAAATAAAATACTACAAACCCAGGATTATAGGATTCAGTTTGTGTACGAATTACCTATATACTGATATTTCAGAATTTATCATGAATTTTTTTTTGCCTGAAAGGTCTCACAAACCACTTTCATTTCTGATTTCTGAGCGCATGAACGGAAAGTGTTAACTGTAACAGATCACTGTTCTCTGGATGACAAGACTGCCCACATGGATATTTCCCATGTGAAGAAGCTTAATTTTTAATTGAAATACATTTTGAAATTTATCTGGCATGGTACAATATTTCAATGCAACAGCCCTTCAATCCTAACACAGGTTATCTAAAACTGTTGTAGAGAATATTTTATTTGGAGGTATCTATCTTTTCAAGAATCAAACAAATTGTCAGTCCAGGGTTGGTTAGGAGACGCGAATCTCAGCCTGAATTACCTCAGGAAAACTAAAGAACAAGAAGGAGAAGACAAATAATTATACATAGCCTCATAAAAAAGGCAGGAATTATTGTTGGTTTTCTCATTAGTTTCCTCAAGCCTTACACACCTCTCTTACAAATGGATGAACTGTTGCTCTGAAACTCCACTTTGAAAAATTTCTTTAAGACTCAGAGGCAAAGGAATTGTAAACTTTCAGAGAAAAAAATATTTAGATAAGTGATTTTCTGTTCTTGTGATATACATTTCCTCTGCAAAACTAATAGCATAGAAGCATGCAACTTTAAAAAATATTTGCAAGTACTTTAAGTTTCAGTGTTGAACTTGATATTTTGGGTGGTTATTCAAATCACCTAAACTTTATAAATCCCCATGATTTTTAATCCCATAATCCTTTCCTCTCCTTTATTGGCACTCAATTAATTTTCTTGTATTATAGCATATTTTTCAAGGAGAGAGATAAATGACAAATGGAAAATCACCTTCTGTATTACTTTGGTAAAAATTAGAAATAACTTTGCTGAAACAAGTGAAAAAGCAAACGATACAAATGAGAAAAGATTAATACTCATGACTCTGCTCTGTAAATCAAATTCATGTGTTTTCTTTGCAGAAGCCAATGACAACTTCAGCTACGGTCCCAGTGCCTTCATGGGATGAGACTGCCTTGCAAGCAATTAAGGAAGATCCAGAAATCTTCAAAAAGTAGCATTAAACACTATGCTAGAACTATTGATCAGTCTTAAAATTAATAAAGCCCCCAAAACTCTACAGAAACAATTGCATATAATATCATTCAGTGTAAAAAATCTTCACTTCATCAGCATCTCTGCTTACAGATAGCAACATGGCCTATGAATAGTGGAAGGTGCCATGTTCAGATACTTCAAAACCAACCTGATTTCCACATGATAACATAAAAAGAAAAAGAAAATAAGATGAAGTCACAAATATTACAGTTTAGGTGGGTGCTAGGGACATGGTTTCAGTGAGGCAAGCTCAGCTCTGCAGCTTTCCTTCCATTTGTTGATCACAACTGAAATTCGTTGATTCCTGCAGCTTTCGTTATTATTTTCAGCACTTACCTAAAAACGGTCTGAATGAAATCACTGACTGATTGAAGATCAATAATTTCAAGAAACATTGATTTTATTTCTGCACTTTCTTTTCCCTTTATGTACATGCCCGGTCTTCTTTCTAAACAAATGCAAACCTCAGTACAGAAGACAAATCATCATTGCAATCAATGTACTTACCATCTTCAGGGGTTCTCACGAAAACATCATTCTCTTCAGACAAAGCACTTTCTCCAATTGCAGTAGAGGCTGCCACTCTCATTTTATAATTTGTGTACTTTTTTAAGCCTGAAAAGATTAAGTAAAAAAATCTTGACTGTTTACTTCTTAAACATATTTATTTTGTCATAGTTACTTATGAAACTATAAAACTGAATACTGTTCTAAGATTTTTTGATGCACATTTGTTACCTAAAAGATAGAATACATATAATACCATTTATGTGGGGACAGCCAAATAGGCACGCAGTTAAACCAACAGACTTTGAAATAAGTCAATTAGCTTTAACCCTGTAACTAGCTTAAAGAATTTATTTGTCAAAATAAAGGATGCGTATATGTACATCCAAATATGTGGGTTTATTCTATATGCATTACTCTGATTAGCACAAATAAGTGTCTGAAACCCTATTAAAGAATGGATTTACTTCAATTACTATAAAAATTATCATCTTAAAATAAGAAAATTATTATTAATGTTAGACAAATACTGTGAAAAAAATTCAAGTCTAAAAAATAATAGACAATTTAGGAATATTTTTCTATGTGGACAGAAGATGCTTAGACAAAAATTCCAGGGAGAAATCCATTTCACAAATTACTACTCATACCCTTTCTCAAATTACTGCTTATCTTCTCCCTCTGCTCTCATCTCATATTCCCTACATATTTCTCCACAGTAGACAGCTCTAACAGTAGTGTACCAACCTTGTTTTTACATGCAGTTATGTTGTGTGTGTGTGGATGTGTGTGAATATGTGAGACTTGATCCATCTACTTTGCAAATGGTTATATTATATAAAGTTGGAAAACTTAATTTTGTATAATGTATTTGCAAGTTTAAATTTTTATCTTTTTTTAATAAAATGGCACTATACCTGTCATAAGTAAGCTGTTGTTTGAAGTTGTTGTGTGGAATGCTCTTTTTGTATCCAGTTCTATTGCATAAACTGTGTAATGGATGATTTTCCCATTGGGATTTGCTGGAGGATCCCAATACAGCAAAACAGAGGAGGAGCTAATATTCTTGTAAGATATATTTTGTACTGAGCTTGGAACTGCAACAAAAACATAAAAATATAACGATAAGCAAATAAATTACTAAAAAATAATTCAAATGTTCAGTGAAAAAAGTCATGTATGTTAGCCTTGATAATATCAGAGTTACAAAACTTTACCTTGTTCGCATGTCCTGACCGTAAGAACTGATGGTGGTCCTTCTCCAACAGCAGTGAAAGCAGACACACTAATTGTGTAATCTGTGAAAGGTGTGAGGCTCTTTATAACATATGACAGCTCTTCAGCCAAAATGTTGATGGTATACTGATTTTCTGTGAGTAAATGGAGAGAAATAGCTACTTACTCATAAACTCATTTTTTTTCTTATGCATTCTGAACTCACTTTGGCAGGGCAACCTGCAACTGTTTCATTGTAAAATAATTAACTTTCATGGCAATTACAGAATATAAAGAAAAGTCTACACTCCATCTCTTAACTACACAAAGGAGAGTCTATTATAGGTCCATTTTCATGTGTACAACAGATAGACTGGTCTAGGTAAAAGAATGAATAGGTCACAGGTAGAATTGTGAGGTTTGTGAGAAATCCCCCAGAAACTAGGAGAAGGTAGCTTTGTATATGGCCTAGTCTCTCCAGTGATTTCAGAACCATGGCTTCTGGATTGATAAAATTTTTGAGGTTTTTAAAATATTTTAAATTGAGAAAGATAGATTGCCTCTTCCTTGCCCTCCCCCTCCCAATGGTGCTAAAAGAACCATACTTGGAAAGGTTGCCTTCACAGACCCCTTCACACCGAGATTTTTAGCAAAAGAGTTGTGGTCAGCAGAATGAAGAAGACATGCATGCCGACAAAGAGTTTTTTGGTGCATCTCCAATAAAGTTCAAAGTCAGTCACAATCCAACTGTGATAGTCAAAATCATTTGTTATAAAGCAGTCATTATGCCAGTGCAAATGAAAAAGTGTGGGTCCTTCTCATATCTGCGTATCAGGCTCAGAGTTTTGTGAAGGCATTGAAAAATCAGCAGACCCTGAAGAAAATTTGGCTGTCAACAGCTTTAACTACTGTAACTCCTATAAAATAATACTCTTATGCTGGATCACAACAGACATTGTCTGAAATCAATTTTTCAGCAACACAGACATCATTAAGCAACTCAATACCTCAAGATGAATGAGGCCATAAAAAGAAGATTTTCATTTAAAACACTGTATGTTTTCTGTGTATAACAAGGAAGATTCTTCAGGATTAACTAAGTACAGAAAATAACCACTGTAGTTTAAAATAATGGATTGAATTCTGGTATTAGATACTGGTGTATATAGAGGAATTCAGTGACTTCATTAAATTAATTTAAAACTTAAAAAAAAATAAAAACTTTAGTTTCTCCCCACTGTTCAAACACCGTAAAAATTTAGAGAGGTATTTGAAATCCCTGCCTGTCAGCTGAAGCCTGCTTAATGATTTGTAAATATCCATACTTGGAAAAGAAACAGTGGCCCATTGATAATACAGAACAAGTGTACTCACTAATGACATCACCATGTCATGGGGTCATCTCCACCTGTTTGTAACCCATATAGCAAAGTTGTAACTTTTTGACCTATTTACCTTCACTGACATTTGAAAACCTATTAGTCAAACAGCTTAGAGAAATCAAGGTCTCTGAAGGGCTTGGAGATATGTTAATCCCTGACAATCACACCTGCTTTGGCAACTGTAATAACTGATTGTCTATGCAGCTTGGCTGATGGCTTTCGGGTGCTTCTTTCGCTAGGAAGAAGGTCAGCTGGGTGACAAGGGGCTAGTTCCTGCCTGTGTGGCATTCTCATTTGCTTCAGAAGGTTATTTGGTAGTAAAAAAATCTGACTCCAGCCAATGACCCATTTATAATTTGCTTGAACCATGTGCAAGAGATCATATCTGGGACAGTGATGAGGGTCCTTCAGAACAAAGAAACAGGTAGAAAAATATCCTAAAATACCTTACCCAAAGCAGAATGTAACTCTGCAGCTCCATTTATAGCAGGCAAATTATCACCAGATACACTTGTAAATATTACTGGGGAAGCTGTCTGAATGCTGGAAAACATTTCAGCTGAACCTTCATATAAATCATTGGCTGTTTCCAATGAATTCCAAGTGGGAGAAGAAGGGTTTATGTTTTCATTTATTGTGTATGGCTCCAAAGAATCAATCAAATACTAAAAATTAGAAATACAAAAGTAAATCACAAATCTTGTCATCATTAAATTATATAATTAATTTTACATATAATATAGAAATAGTGTTTGTATATCTGTGCATATATATATAAGCATACTATATAAATGCTGGCATACAAACCTTATCATTCACTACAGTAATTAACGTTGCAAAATGCAATCTTTATAATAAAAAAGCTCAGTTGCCAGTAGCCTACAACCTTTTATTCTGATTACTGTTTAATCAAACACCACTTTTTTTTATTTCTTAAAATATGGATATTATAGTAAGGTGGCAGTTTTAGAGTAAGGCCTTTAACTGTAATGCTGTATCCTTGGAGCTATAGTGAACAGATACACATTTGAACTTGGGAGATTAAATTTGTATTAAGCATGTTCTGAAAGAGAGTAGCAGGCAATGAAAGCAAGAAGACTTTAGATATCCCTACCAGGCCCTGAAGAAAAGGATTAACAGGTTGACTAGGTCACTAAGATGTGATAAGTAGAGAGGAAGAAAAACAGAAGCTAATTAATTGGAGGGGAGGGAAAAATTAGGGAGTATGTAAAAAGGAAGAGTGAAAGGAAGGTAAGTGATATAGACTCCCATAGGAGAGAAGGGACAGAGAACAAATGTTGGAAAGGGATGGCAACAGATATAAGGGGATCAAGAACAGAAAGGAGAGGATAAACAAAAGCATAATAAAAAAGAGAGAGGTTGGAACATAGGTGCAAAATGGTGTGTAAGCACCAAATCATTATACTCCTTCAGAATCTGGGACCAAATCCAGGACTCTAGTGTCTCTAAATTGTTCTGCTGCCATCTGGAGCACTCCCCACTCACATATATGAGCCACCTCATAGCCAGAAAGAGATGGTTTTACAGTGACGTAACTAATACACATTAGTCCTTTCCCTATGGACTCTGGGAGGAGAGATGGCAAAGCAGATTTTTTACTCCTTTAACTAGGGGTGCATTAGCCACAGGCAGAGATACAGCATCAATCTCACCTAAATATCAAGAGGTAAAAGCAACATATGACTCATCTTCACCAGCTTTTTATAGCAAAGTAGTAACTCACATTGAGATACTTTTTGCTTATAAGTGTTTTCCACATATAAGACAACAACATTTTATTGCTACTAGTTATTGAGTATAATTAGCACTGTGGATCTGACAGTTCAGATCCCATAGATGCTCTAAGATTTGGTCAATGGGGTTCTAAATAAAGAAAGATTTATTATTATTTGCTTTGTTTTTTAATTAGAAAACTCAAAAAACTATAATAAAGCAGCAATGATGCTATACTAAGAACTCACAAACTAGGAAATTCCATCATGGAAATATTTCTGTGTAGACAATTCTAATTTTTCTGTGTCTGTGCTATGATACAATCTTTAATTATAAAGTTACATACTTAATTTTCCAAGGACGCCTGTCTGGTTTAATGAATGGATCCTTATCCCAATTTTTTTTCCCTTACTCCTTACTTAATGTTTGCCTCCAGGGCTCTATATAATGTATATCATTCAACTTGAAAGTGAACTCCTTCATTGAGCTCTACATCAAAAACTTAGATTCCGATTCAGATCCAGTGAAAGACATCATTGTCTGAAATAAAAAAAGGAATTATGCAAACTTTGGGCACCTATATTGAAAATTCAAACCAAAAAGCCCTACCTCAGAAAGAACTCAATCCTGAGCTGAATGTTTACTAGGAGTCTGAGCTTCTGTGCTGAGTACTCAGAGCTTCTCCTCTAAGACTGTAAAGCACATCAGTGCTCAAAATCCAAAAGCTGGACTGATTGACAGCGTGAGTCTCCAGAGAGATAGAATCCCATAGATGCGTGCAGATATCCTTAGTAAGCAACCATAGCATGGAGTTCAGCATGTAGTATCACACATGTAAATTTAAGGATGCAAATGGGGGGAGAAAGTGTAGGTGTGTCTGCCTTGCTAGTAGAACACTTAACCAGCCTTGTGACACTTCTGCTCAATTCACTTCTGCACAGGATTCACACCCACATCTTCTAGAGGTTTTGCTGAGTGGTTGTGTATCAATCTAGGCACATAAATATGTGTATCAGTCTAGGCAACTCTTACAGGCTGTATATCAATCTAGGCACCTAACTCTTACAGTTAGGTCACCCTATGCAGAAAAGAACTCAAGGACTCAGAAGGACAAGACTGTAGGCTATGGCTTCCTGCCTTCAGTAGCTAAGACAGTCTGGATCATTCTGCCAGAATTATTTTTTTTTCATGTTATGGTGAGAGCATTATGAGAATCTTTTTGAAACCCAGTCAGAGAGAGTGGGATGAGGAAGATGGCTTTTAAAAACCTTAACAACTCATCTGTGGTGGCTAATTCCACATTCTATAACTATCAGATAAGGCAGAGAGCAAATTTAATCTAACAAAAAAAAAAAATCCATGTTAAAAAAAAAGAATACCGTATTTTTATCTCCAAGAATAATGTTTTCCAAAGTCATGAGTGTTTTCTGCACATGTACTTTAACTCTGTACTGGGTAATGATTCCATTTGGTTGTCGTGGCTTCCTCCAAACAATTTTTATATATGTGGCTTCCACTTCTGCTAAGTGTAAATCTGATACAGCACCTGGGACTAAATATTAAAGAAGAAAATTTATTTGATTAAACACCTGTGATTATTACAAACTTTTTCAGTCCTGCATGCAAGGCACAACAGGCATCTAGTCAAATTTCACATCCTTTACTTTTGAGTTGATCCTATGCAGGTAGAGAGTTACTTCACATATTTTCTTAGCGAACAAGTTACAGTTCTAAAAATATGCATGGGTTTTTTTAACAAATATGACATATGTATGCATATGGTCAGACACTAAGATGACATAAATCAGGATGGCTCTGCTGAAGTCAGTGTATTGGAATCAAGCAGATCTTTGCTGTCTTCCTATATGGAATCTGAAGTATATTTGAAAATGAAACGTTAGTTTTAAAATTATTAAAACCATACAAGTAAACAGCTTGAAAAAAAATTAACGTAAAACATCTAGTTCATTTCTCTTTTATAACAGGTTTTGGTTCGATTTCTTCATTAACTATTTAGTCTTAATGATACTGTACTTTCCATAGGACTTCCAGAGACAAAATACATTTCTATTCAATAGAATGATATTCAGATTTGATACACTTCAGTAAAACACAATCTTGAAATTACTTGCATAATGAGGATTTGTAGATTTGGCACTAAGACAGGAAATTATATGTTACACTAAAAGAAATATCAAACCCACCAAAATTTCCTTTGGCTTTTGACAGTGCATTTTGACACAAGATGAGAAGGACTGTACTCAGGCATGCTACCTCTGGAAATTGTCTCTGAGAGTTGCCAAAAGCAGCTACTTCAGGAAATAATAAAATAAGTAAGGATAGGTGTTCCTCCCAGTGTTATACCTTGACAACAAACATTGCCAGAAATCACTGATTGAGAGATATTCTAAATTTGTGTTGTGTGGCATAAACATAAGACTTCTGTCTTATAACTATCTTGAAACTGCCCATCACACACTGAATCTTGTTTTTTTCTGTTTGCGTCCTCAGATGCTGACAAAAAATCCTGCACAATCTCATATATATCTAAGATAAAACTGCATGTCTATTGACTATTGGGAGCCAAAACTTCTAAACCACAGAGTACAGTGTTCACAGACAGAACCAACCATGTGACTGCACCAGGACAAGACCTCAATGTTGGGTCTGCCTCAAAGTTAAGTTCCCGGGTAAGTTCCAGGGTGTTCACCCTGGTATGGAGCCTTTGATTTGGTGAGAATTAGTCAAACCAGAGGTTTCATAAGAAACATTAGGGCTGAACTGCCGTGGGAAATCCTGCGCTGTTTTTCGTTTCCACTTGCTGCCATCTAACGGGGAAGAGGGAGGGCCTGCAACATAATTACCGTATCTAAAAATAACCATCTTCATTCAGAAAGAGACTTCATGTCTTGCACAATCTCTGAGAGGCGGATAAATGGAGTGACAGTGTGTGAACTGGACAAAACCAGAGAAAGGCTCTGAAGGGAAAACTGAAACCCTTTGTCATGTACAGTCAGTCCATATATTTTGCTTCTCTATGATTACTTACCATCTGGAGGAGTGAAAACTGTAAGGTTAGTCTTTGGCCCCACCCCAGCACTTGTTTCAGCACCGACGTACACATCGTATGTTGTAAACGGCACAAGGTTACTAAATACAAACTTATGGTCTTTTGTGCTGTTATCCAGAATATGACCTGGAATTAAAAATGAAGAGATTCTAGCTCAAAAATAAAAACAGTCCAGGGCTACTTTTCAGGATGATGAACAATGAAAAGCCAAATTTCTTTGGGGAAAAGCTAATTTTGAACAAACTTCAGTGGAATAATACTGAATGTATGGGGAAAAAACTAACAAACCAATCAACCAACAAGCCACTTCAAGAAGGTGTGGGTTTTAAGAGGAAGGGATTTTTAAAAAAAAATAATTTCTATTGCTTTTTCTGTGTGGTCTCATAAAAACATTAGATACAGCTCATAAACTTATTACTTAACTACAGGCAGTTCTATAATTTCTCTATGTATACATGTCAGAGTTCAAAAAAATTCCAAAAACATCAAAACAGACTCAAACATTTGATTGCATACTGCACGAGAATGAAAATCCTCTAGAAATCTTTAACAGAAAGAGAAAAGAGCAAAGGTAAAATAGAGAATTCTTTGGATGTCATGGCTGGGCTTCGCAAATGAAGATTTGGGAAGGGCTCTACCCACACTTGCTACAAGCGCGCTGGTAGCTAAAACAATGCGAGATAGACAAGACCAGTTGCAAAAGGCACAGCAGAAAGACTCCTTAGGTGGTATTGACAGGACATGGTTCTTTCTGCATTGTCTTTTCTCCTCAAGAATGATCCCACGTGCGTTCTCAAAAGAAGCAGCAGCGTTATAGATAGTGTGTCTCCAGACCTCCCGATTGGAGGATTTGGATGTATAAGCACAGTAATTCAGCTGCAACCTTAGCCCTGAAAGACTGAGGAAAAATTGTTTTTCTCCATTCTTAAGAATATCTAATATGAATTTAATTTTATACTCCTCTTCATGATGGACTTTTCCCTTAAGAGTAATCTAAAAACTATTAAAACACCTAATAGTAAAAAGGATACATAACACTGCTTTCAAATATTCATTTTTGATTGACAGGCACAGTAAGAATAGAAGTGTAAGGAAACAATCACAAAAAAAGAAAAAGAAATGGTAACATCAGCTCTGACTTACCAGATGGTCCATACAGCTCAACTCTGTAACTAAACTTTCCTGTTACTATGGCTGGGGGTTCCCACATTACTGAGAAAGACTTTGCTGTAACGTTGCTCTTGGCAAAATTTTGTGGTGGGTCTTCTGGAACTTAAACAATATTGGAAAAAGTCTTTGAACATAAAATAATTTATATTAGGATTTCCAAAACCACATATCAGACAATTCATTTTTAACATAAAATATTCTGAAGGGAAAAGTATATGTCATTAAAATTACTAAATTTCTCTTTTAAGTTAACGCTCAGAAAAGGTATCAAGAGAGCTGGTAGTATGCAAATAGTCGTTAAGAGACAAAGATGGTAGGGATTCTACCAAGTTTAGCATGGATTTTACCATGCTGTAGATTACATACAGAAGATGCTCAAATATGATTGTGAGGCTCAGTAATACAGGGCTCACATTAGGTAAATTTTCCTTCCTTGAATATGTTCATTTTTCATATAGACAATACTTCATATTGAAGATTTCTTGCAGCTCTAATGATATATATTACTATCCTGAAAGCTAAATCTGTAACCAATGAAGTTTGTTAAAACATTTCATACATGAGTAATTTTCCATTTTCATGACACTACTTGTGCAAATTAAGTGAACCCGATACTCAAGTGATTATGGGATGCAACCCCTGCTCTCTCTAAAGTACCCCCTACTGCAGCTATAAAGTAATGAGAGATTATTATTGATATTAAAATCAGAATCAAATTAAAGGAGATGGAATTGTTTACATCCACATAGAGTGAAATCAAACCCAGTTTTCAAAAATGCTGCATACAGAAGTAAACATATGGAAAATTTTTGACATAAATTTCTATGAAAATCAGTCTTGATGAGTCATGTCTGATATCTAAGCCAATATGGAGACAATAACTGATGCTGTAAACAAATACACAAGTTAACTAATATACTGCTATTATAAAGTACTATTGTCTTCTGTAAAAACTATTGTACAAATGAAAGAAATTAAAAATCCTGTCATTTCTAAAATGTATGCTATAGATTAGTCAGTAGTGACTACTTAATCATTCTTAGTTTTGCAAATTGCATAAGTTAAAACTGCACATATTTCTGAAGCATCATCTCAGAAGTCCACTATTTTTCCCAAGTTTTAATCATTTTCTCTTTGTAAATGTGTCCTCCAATTGACAGCCATCCTGGTAAAGGGAGTATTTCCATGCAGATTTAAAAAAAAAAAAATCTAGGATTTTAAAACACTTTAAAGAAGTAGCCTCCTTTCCAAAAATCAAAGCAAGAAAAATATCTTTTTGTCAGAAACACAGGAGAGCTGAAGCATGGCTCAGAAAGTTCTAGCAGGAGGAAACAGAAATAATTTTCAGCATGGAGCACCAACGAGCTTGGGTGTACCGGTGTGCCGCTAAGAGGAAGGACTTACTGAGACTGGGACCAGAAGGACTGACTGTGCCTTTGGCCCTGTGCACACTCACACTGACCAGTAAGCCCACCTCCCTTTTCACAGACCCTGGCTCTATGCAAGGAGGGAAAGCCTTATCTTTCAAACAGTTGACAATTTCTATGCATGTGGAGAAACTAAATCCCATTCTGTAAGATTTTCATCACTTTCCAGGGTTTTCTTACTACCAGTGCATCTATCCTAGGATGTTAAGAGGGTGAAATAAATACTGGAAATTAGCCCTGATATCATTAGAAGAGAAACTGTCCAAAATTTCATTAACCTGAACAGAGCAGCAAACTAAGGTTATTCAGATTCTATCAAAGCAATGCAAATTAACTGCTTTAGAAGGGAATAAAATTTCTTTTCATCTGAACAGTGCTATGAATATTGTATGTAGAAGGGGAATTGAGTAATATCAACTCGAGTTAAGCAAAAGAATGATGTATTAGCAAACAGAGAGCCAGAATGATTCTTCTAGAATGCCTTTATGGTATAGCTTTACTAACAGTGCTGTCCACTACCTAAGCCATTATAAAACTCCTCTTCCTGGACCTTTGTTTCCAATTCTAACTTCTCAGTGCATTGCAAGTAATCCAAAATCAGCTTCACCTAGTGCTTAAAGATTTCTTCATTACTGAACAAATTTCTGCAATAGGTCCAGATTGGGAACCACATGACAGGAGTTTTCTTTATAGTGCTTATTTCTCTACAAAGGCAAAGAAGCTTTAAGAGCATTGCTATGTACACAATACACATACTTTTTGAATACTATGACTGACACCTTTTTCCTCCATCTTTATTTTTAATTCTCCTTCCATTGTACTATTAATTCCATTGTACTATACAGATAAAGACAGATTCAGACTGAAGTATTTTGCAACAAAAATTCAAATTGATATTTTGAAGTTTTTACCTAAATCTGAGAACTGCTTTCCATTTGAAAGCAGTATTTACCTGATTCTGGTGTCCGGACAATTGCGCTGTCAATGTAGCCTGCTTCAGTGGTAACTGCAGAAACTTCAAAAAGATAGGTGGTATATGGCCTGAGGTTAGTTATAACAAAGCTAATCGGTTCATTCCACACAGAGCTCATCTGACTTGGTGCCTCTGTATTTGGTGTAACTGTAGACTGTGAAGGAATTGTGGATTTCCCAAAAGTAGTTGAAGGAGTGGTAGTACTCCATAGAAATGATTCACTCTTATCCTATAAAGACAAAATATGAAACATGATAAGCTGTATCTATAACCTATAATTGTAAATATATGTAGATCAAAAAAAGGCAGACCACCTTTGAAAAAATATTAGCTTGAATTGGTTTTCCTTTTTACACTCCATTTCCAAATTTAGATTGACAGTGCTGGTACATCTGTTAGTGACAGTATTGTAGTTTCCTGTCTTATTTAAAAAGATCTCATATCTGACTGAACAGAAGCATCTCTCTAGGATTCATTTAATTATTCCCAGATTCCTTTTTCAGTGTTCAGTCTCCCTCTTGAAAAAAAGTTCTGTAGTGAGGTCCTTTTACATCACATATATGTTCTATATATGTATGTATATATACATATACAGAATACATATATCCATATATCATGGACAAAACCAGACAAGAATTTCTTAGTACATACTGCCAGGAGACAACTCTGGAAAACTGTTAAACATTATGGTAACCAATACTTATGATTCAGTAGGTGGCAGTCTGCCTTCTCAGTGCTGAATTAAATCAGCCTGGCATCAGGAACCTTCGCAATGCCTAAGACGGTTTTCCAAATAAAATCTGAAACCAAAGTTATCATACTTTTTCATTCATCTACATTTTTCATTAAAATATTAAGCCTAAAAAAATGGAGGGGAAAAAAAAAGAAAAAAAGAAAAAAGTTTGAGTAGTTGCAACACTGTCCTCAGAGTAAGAAGGAAAAGGAGAATAAATGCTAGAAAAGAGAACTTTCCTCAAGAAATTCTGAAAGGTATACAGTGGTTACAGGTCTGAATGCAATTAATAGTTAAAATTCAGAAAATTTTCAATGAATGCTTATTTTAAGAACAACTTAGACTACAAATGTATTTTTGAAAATCACTCTGATAATCATGCATCTTTTCATTTTGATATGAGAAGTATTTCAAAAATATTGAAATGCAATAGAATAAAGCATATTTTCGAAATATAAAAAGCATTATCATGCTACATAAAAAATAGGACATTAATATTACTCTATGTCTTCACTGACCAAAAAAATTCCTTGAGTTCTTGTTTTTTTTCTAACTGAATATCCTATAAAACAAACAAACAAAAAAAAATTAAATGAAAACTGAACAAAAATGATCTATTTTGCGATTTTTTGTTAAATGGATACCAAATTTAATCTTTCTTAACATTTTTACTTTGATTAAACTGAGCTTTTCAAGGAAAAGCATTCCGCTTAAATGATTTTAAACAGAATGATTTTTCTTCAACCATTATATCCTACCTTGGGTCTAAGTTTGTAAGGCATTTGTAATTGTTCTGAAAAGCAAGCCTCTCCACTTTTTATGTCTCAAAATTCAAATGTATAACCATATTCAATGTAAAACTAAATTCTGTGGGATGAGTCTATTTCTAGTTTAAAAGGTTTATAGCACTTACATTACATTCTGGCAACCTCCCAGACAGAAGGTCCTCTACTTTAACCAAGACATCTTTCACTACAATTCCACTTCTTGCGTGTTTCACACTAATCTTGAAACTAGTTATCTTTCCATTTGGTTGCCGAGGTAGAAACCAGATCAGATTTACAGCTGAAGAATTTAAGGCTTCAACTGTGAGATTCACTACTTTACCTGGAGCTTGAAAACAAAACAAACAAAAGCAGTAAGATAAACTTTTCTTCTCAGCATTGAAAAAAAAGAAAATTCTTCCTTTTTTTTTTTTTTTTTTTGGTAATGCCATTTCTAGTTTCCAAACCCTGGAGCAAATAGATAACAATCATTCACAAACACATGTAAAGCAGCTGATATACAACCAGCTCTTTCTCTATATAGTTTAAGTAAGAAATATAACTATTTCAGTCTCATGATAATATAGTAATTGGTTTGGTCAGCTTAAAAATATTCTTTCTAGAAGAAAGTCACCTACTATTGCAAAAGTAGCAAAATTTTGTCCATTTTTGTTTGTTTAAGAGCATCTGACAACACTGGGCATTTTATTTCACTTTACCTGTGTCATCTTTTCAGCTGCATATAGATTTACGGTAGCTTTAAATAACTCACTTTAAACAGACTATTCACTATTACTGCAGAAATGGTGTTCTTTGTATCAGTGACAGTTTCTGTGGCCTTTTGTCAGAGTATCTGTATTAATCATAGCACAAAAGAATGACATGCAGCATCTAAATGAGATTTTACATGCTATCTGGACTTTCCTGCAAATTAGAGTAGTCCCTCTCTCTTAGTCCTGCCTACATGTAGCACAGTCTGCAGCAAGTCCTGTAATAGGTAGCCTTGATACTACGGAGAAAAGGGTTAGCTGTTTACACTATTTTAAAAAAACCAGCATTCCACAATTGCAGATCTTTCATGGGTGAATTAAGACAGCTCCTCCAAGCTTCCCATTTAGTGCTTTTAGTCCTGCTAAGTCTTTTCCAGACCTTTCATTTCTTCTCCCCTTTCCCAGACCACAGCCTTTAAATTTAAATAATTTTATTTTCTGGTTAACTTTCTTACTTCAAACTGCACATCTGCATGTTAATCAAGATGTTTGGCTTTCTTTAGCCATCAAAGCAAGACTTAAAACAAAAAAAAGGTTAAGAAGGTAAAAGTACAAATGTAATATCAGTGACACATAACTCACCTAGAATTTGAAGAAATCTTACAATTGCATTCATAATAAGTGATTTTAGCCTTAATAAAAATGTAGTCAGAAATGCATCAAAAAGTAAAAAGCTTATGTTCTCATATGGAAAATGTAAGTGTTGTCCTCTCTCAAAGATGAATAAATCATAAAGCTCACAGAAATATGGTTTTCCACCAGCAATAATGTACTTAGAATAGTGAAGAATAATAATTTTTCATAGCTCCATGTGTCAAGTTTACTCCTCCTTCTCATATTTGGTTTCATATATTATTGCATTATCTTAGAAATCTCATGCAGAGCAATGATTTTCTGACATTAATTGAGATATCTCACTCTGAAGCTTGCATAGAAACAGAAAGTAGCCTAAACACAGAAGGACAGTCACTGCCATGGCAGCATGAATTCTGTATTCCACTGAGACTGGTTCATCCTGATGTAATTGGACTGGTGCCAGCTCTTCAGCCAAGGCACAAGTGCTCCTGGAGCACGAGTAAGATTATGCAAATTCAAACTATGTTTTTTTAATCTTAAAAAAAACCTCTAATTTTTATTTTCATTTCAGATTTTTTTTCAGAATTAAGACATAAAAATTTAGTACAATAGTTTCTGTGCAAGGCTTCTTAGAACCCAGCACTAAACCAATACAGATTGATTTAAGTAGGCAATGCCAGAGCTGACCCCAAAACAAAATCTATCTCCTGGTACTGTTGCAGGCAACAACAGATGGGTCCACTTAATACGTAGCTCTGCTCTCCTGTGACCTTACTTTCTGGAAGCAGCCTACCTAGAAACTGGCATAGGAAAAGCCTAACAGAAACAGACCTTGCATACAAGAGACACCCATATGTGCACACCTTAAATGCTGTTATTAGCAAATAGAACAAAATAAATCTTTGCCACTGAGTGAGAGAATAAGAAAAAAATTATGATTTTGTTCTAAATGCATTAGAATTTTTTCAAGTACGAATTTTACCGTGGATAGTTTATTTGAACAAATTAGAGTAGATTTAATTAAAATAACTAGCAGCTTTATTAAAATTACCACTTTCTGCAGTCTGAAAAAGGAAAAGATCACTAAATACTCCAATACCAGCACTGTTCTCAGCAGCAACCTACAGAAAAAAAAAAAGAATTCACATTAGAGAATCTATAGAATATATAGTTTCAGGAATCTGAAAATCTCAAGGATACACAGAGATTCAACTTCTAGCTTTTAAACTGTAAATATACAAACAAATATGCCTTTTCTAGTTGCACTGTTTAAATTTATATTCAATATATAAATGTAGAAAAATAAAAGGGAGGAAGTAGGAAACAGCATAAGAAATGGAGGAAATCACGTGTGATTTTCATCAGAAGTGCTGAGTCCCTATTTTATGGCACTCAACCATAGGAATAACATCAGTGACACTCTTGTTCCTTAACATAATTCACTTAAACCAGCTTTCACAATCCTATTTTACTTACTATGAGTTAAAAGAGTAAAAAGGAATATATGTTCTCTTTTATTTCTCTGTCTCATGAAGAATAGCAAGAGCAGGTCAACCTCCCTCAGAGAAGAAACCCAAGGAAAACATGTCTTTTTGTGGAAAGACAAAATGTCAGGGAACTGTGGATGCACTTTATGGTAGATGTGCTTCAGTGCTCAATGTAGTGCTCAGAAGGGCACTACATTGAGATTTTGTGAAGATAAACAAAACAATAATGCTGTTCGCTTCACAATACAGGACTTAGTGACAACTTGATGCAGTGATGGGCCATAGCATGCACTACTTACAAATAAAGAGGAATGAAGTCTAACTTCTTATTTTGATAAGTGAAAGAGACAACAAAAGGTAAAACATGAGCAAAATTCCAAGAGTGTTGTTGAGAGGTGTGTGAAAGAAGAAGCAAAGTGAAAAGCTCTCCAGCTTTCTCCAGGGTCATTCCCTCCTGCCAACGTCAAGCAACAAAGGTATGGCAGTGGCACTGAGGGACCTGACAGCACAGACCTAGGGGAACACAGGGTGAGAAGGGGCAGATGTGTAAAACTAAGTGTGGATCACTATAGAAGTGACAGACAGCACACAGGAAGGGAAAAAAAAAGTAGAGGGAGCCCACAGGTCAGACAGGGAAACTTGTTCTAATCACTTCTCAGCACTAAACAGTGCATCTTTCAAAGACTGTAAAGCTGTTTAAACAAAAGGACTAAGCCCTAGCAGAAAAACACAGCAAAGAAATACAAGGTAGTGTATTCTTTACATCTAGGATGTAAAGGAGAATCTGTGTCACTGGCTAGCTCCTTCCTAAGCCATACAAACATGCCCCCCATGCACACACACCTCATGATTATAGCCAATCCTACCTAACTGTGCATCACAGAGACAATGACTTGAAACCTCCTTAAGCATTGGTGAATTCCACAGTAATTGCAGTAGCTGAGAAAATTGACTGGAGAGCTTCAGGGGACTGACAGGCAGTCAGAAAATTCTGACAGTTTTTACATTGCATTACATAAATCTAAAGCCATATCCTCACCTAAACACTGGGTTTTATCTCATCTCAAAAAAAAGAGTTCAGAAAGAAAAATTAGCATTAAGATAGACATGGAAACTCCTATTTCATATGTGTAGTTTCAAGACAACTCGAAGTTACTATGACGTAAGTATGCAAAAATTTGTATGGTAAAGGTTTCAGCTACAAGCACTGATAAGCTGTGAAGAAAAATCAAAATAAATGCTTACACAATGTACTGGTAACTTCTAGACACCACTGCCACAAAAAGAGTCATTGTACAAAAAGTCTTGGAAACATTTTAAAAGGACAATTTTACTGCGCAGATAACAAAGTACTATCCAAGGTTCAATAGCTGCAGTTTACATTTGGAAGGCATGTTAATTTTTATGCTTTGACTTATGTTGTCACCGATTATTTAAGTTTAGAAAAAAAATATTCCATGCATAATTTCACAAAATTATCGATGATCAGATGTTCAAAATTATCCATAGCTCTTCAGCATTTAGAAAATTAACTCTTGTAACTGCTATTCCTTTATAAGTGTTTTGTTTTGGTTTTTTATTAGATGTAAAGAAATTAAGACTGGACTGTTACAAACAGGTTGGAAACCTATATTCAAATCTTATAAGCTCTGATGAACTGTAATGTCACATTATTTACCAGAAAGAATTTCACAAAAGGATCAAGCCAGGTACCCTAAAACAGTGAAGAATTTTCACTTATACAAAATTCAAGAGCTACTTCTAATGATACAATAGACCCCAAACATTAACCAAAGAACCACAAGAAATTCCTCCAGAGAAGGAAAACAAGTCATATTTCTTTTTGTACACATATATGAAGTAGAAAGTGTTCCACCTTAGTGGTTATTAGTGGGTCACAAATCATTGAATCAAATTCTGCTCTAAGAGCAATGTTTCAGGCATCAGGAATGGGAAAAATTTCTTCCCATATATATCAAGAAAGGGCAAATTACTGCTAAATAAAACAAATTATTTAAAATGCCTCATAGTTTTCCCAAGGAAGATTTATATATTGAGCAAAGAATGTAATTTCCACAACCTTTAATAATGAACCCCACAGAAGAGCTCTGGTGGTACTCCTGATTGCAAATTGAGTTCTCTTAATAATGTCATTTATCTGAGGAGATTGATCTGCTTAGATCCCAAGTGTTAATGCTTTTATCAAATAGTAGAAAAACTTTTTTCTTTTGGGGGGTGGGGTTTTTTAGCAGATGACCGGAGGCAGGAGTTTAAATGATAAAAATTTCTCAAGCTGTGGATATACTGGCTTTATCAGCACAGTCATCAGCACTAGATTGACAGTGAGCAACTTTCCCACAATGGTAGGCATAATTACATTTTTTACTTTCTTACATACACACACCACCCTTACAAAGGATCCTTGCACAGCCTTATTCCTAGCTTGGTCAACTTCAATTTTCTTTATAGGTTTGTGCTGTATGAAATTACATCACAGAATCAGAGAATATTCTAAGATGGAAGAGACCCAAGAAGGATCATCAAGTCCAACTCTTAAATAAAGGGTCCAACAGGGATCAAACCTACAACCTTGGCTTTATTAGCACCCTGCTAATAAAGCTGAGCTAATCTCAGGGTCATGATATGTAATGAATCAAAAACATAATTTCATTTAATTCTTGATTTTGAAAAGAGGAACCTCTCCGAGGTTCTTGTGAAACAGTAAGTCAGGCAAAGAATTGCTTGGCAACTACTGCCAAGAGAATAGCAGTTAATTTGTGTCCACTTGAAGTCATGTATTGTTGAAGAGTTCAGAGATGGATCAGGAGTGCCTAATCTCAATATAAACAAGTTCCATACATAGAAGACCTGCTTTTCTGGATCTGGCTGAGATGATTTAGAAATCTATGTGTAATATCCAAAGTGCACCAGTCATTTGAAAGATTAAAACTCAATGAAGATGAGGATGGATTTAGATGTTTCTGAAAATTCTACCCTTTGCTTTTCATATTTTAGCACATAATGCCATATTTCAATAAGAATATCAATAGAAGAAACTACATTTCAATACAATTTTGGTTGGAAATATTTTTAAGTACATTCAAAAACATTACTGTAAACAAATACCTGACTAGTGTATTTTGTAATATGGCAACAATTTATTAGCAATGTCCCTCTGAAAACTCTATAGGGACCTACTATAAACTTACACAATTTACAATTAATCAGAATTCAAAATACTAAGAGTCATTTGTAAAGCTTTTACCATAATTTCATAAGTTGTTCCAGGATTAAGATTGGTGAGAAGAACTTCCAAACTATCTGGCTTTGTTGTGACCTGTGTATAAGTTGTTTGCCTCCATGGGCAGACTTCTTTATATTTAACAATATAGGAGAGAATTCTGCCATTTGGATGCAGTGGTGTATTCCATGACAGCAGAATCCCAGCAGAGCCCACTCTTTCACCTGCAAGGTACACAGGGGGTCCAGGATCTAAAAAAAACCATACACATATAACCCAGTTGTTAATTAATTTTCCTAATAATGGAGACAGATTCACAGATTCTATAGAGAAATTAAATCATCTACCAGCATAAACTCATAAAACTACCGAAAATTGATGTACTTTTGAAAAAAACACTTTTTTTCTGGCTAAAGTCCTATTACAAAAACGATTAAATGAATTTTGGAGCACTGGAACTATTCTCCTGTAAGAATGTAAAAAATGTAATGCTCAAGATCTTTGTCTTAAAAACACACTTTCATGATAGTTTGATATTTGACATATTCCAGCATTCTTAATTAAAGTTCTTTTCCATGACACATGTCAAAAGCAAATTCACTGTCTTAAAAAACACATCTGATATGGCTACTTTTTTTTTTTAAATATCTCCGAACATTTCTGTATGTGCCACTATACATATAAATTGGGGTATGGATATTACTACATAACACAATAGCAAATTTTTCAAAAGCTTGAAAATTCTCATGCTCTCATAGAACAGATCAGATTCAGTGTATTTTTAAACAGTTAAAGAAGATGAAAGATTTTAATCACTGTTCAAAACTGATTATAATTTCTTGGATACTACTGTGCATATAATAACACAAAAAAGTTTATTTAAAAAAAAAATCAACGAAATTTCATCAGTCATTTTTAACTCACTTGTCACATTTGTTGTCACTGTTCTACTTGCAGGTGAACTATAAAGTGAAGAAGAAACTGCAGACACTGTAACATTGTATGTTGTTCCAGGAATAGTATTAGAAAAATCAGCCTGAAATAAGACATAGATTTATTTAAGTCTTTTACCAAGAAACATTAAAATGAAAAAACAAACAAACAGAAAATAAAACAGAAAAAAAATCACAGAAAAATTTAATCATTTCATTACTGAAAGTGATCTGTTAATAAGCTTTTAAAGATATAACAGAATTTGCAACAGTAAAAGATAGTAGGTTACATCTGTTGGCTACACTACAGTATTTTGCTATCTTATTTAACTATCCTCCCTAAGATAAGTATAACATTCAATATTAAAGAACAACAAAATTAACTATTAATTTTATCAGAGAATCACTTATCAATGTATCTATACAGGTTTTTCTGTGTTATCATTATCAAAGTAAAGATGAGGCATTATAAAATTCCTCTTGGAAAGAATGAACAAAAAAGCAACCTGAAAAACAAGTTTTTGACCCTTAAGCTAGCCCATCCTTTGAAATCAATATAATTAATTTTTTTTAGCAAGCCGCTATATAAAATACCTGTATCTTTGCAGTTCCAATGAAAAAAAAAAGCAAAATATCCAGAACAACCATTATTTCTGTTAACACTGTTATAATTTCCAGACCGCAGAATCAAAAAGTGCTCCTATATCTTTTTGATGGCTTAGCAGTGAAGTGTTGCCTGCATTAATGATTTAAGAGCAGATCTTCCTGGCAAGTGCACAATTAATGAGTCTGTATTACTCAATAGCCCTGCCCTTCCCTTGTTAAACTATTCATGAACCCTTGGATGACTGGCTGTATCCTCCTAGTAGACTTTAAAAAAAAAGTAAATTCACTACTTGTTAAGTAACAAACTTTGTTTGCTGAAATTTGCTCTCACCAATTTTTCATTAACACTTTCATATTCATATTCACATTAAACAGCTAAGGGGGAAAGCTTCAATTTCTCACCAGCAAAGTGCATAAGGAAAAGCTGGCCATGCAAGTTCTGTAATAAAAGCACATACTTGATACTTCCTAACTCCAAGATCTAGGATAACAACAGAAGCATGATCAGGAATAAGATCCACATGAAATCTGTCTACAAGTCCATATGGTAGTGTCCAATACAGTGAAAAAAAATATGATGAAACATTGAAGAATCTAAGTCCTTCTGGTTTTGCAGGTTCTGAAAGAGAATTTTGGAATAAAAGACATTAACGCCCTTGAAAAATATATTGGTAGGTACAACTAAATGTAAAAGTATCCAAGAAGAGTTTACTTACTACATGAAGGATAATTGCTAATTAGTCTGGGTACTACAGTTGCTATACTAGCTCTGAGACTTGGCTGATAGGCTCCCAAGTACACTGTGTGGAAATCTCCATTCCCAGAGAGCAAGCTCAAGGATCTCTGCCCAGTGTTCAGTTAACACTGCTGAACAGTCCTGGTGTTTCTGCTGCCCTCAGCCTTAAAGTTAGCACTACTACTACTGACATAAGTAGAGTTGCTGTTGAAATTCAACATACAGCTGGTGCTTGTTCTGCTGCTAGCAGGTTCTTAACTCTTTTATACATTTCATGTATTTGTAATCCTAGTAATTCCATGAACTCTAGTGAGTTAAGTCCCCAAAATTTGGGTAGTCTGTTCCTTTTATTAAAGTCAAGTTCCCACCTGCTCCTGTCACACTACCTCATTTTCATCTGCCTTTAAATGCACCTTTAAATATGAATCATCCACTCTAAGCCTAATAATGAATCAAATATTAAGTTCTTCAATAGGCCATTAAAATGTAGCCTTGTGTATCTGTCTCCTTTCTACTCTGGAACATATGCACAACTAACAGCTTTCCCTATGCTTATCTCTCAGAGCAAGCCCAGTCAGTGATGCTATTTGCCACATTTCAAATTCACCACTACCCTTGCACTCAGTTCTCTGTCTGCTTTACTAATATGGTTCTCCAGAATTCAGACTAAATCTTCTAACACTGTTTACACATTAGTATCGTACTGCACAGTCTGAATATCATATTGCTTCCACCCTGAAAGAGCTCCACTCCTTTTTTATTTGCTCTAAATCTGCTTAGATTATATATCTTTCACAAACTCTTTGCACTGACTATTCAAAGTTGCAGAATTGTTTCAAACAGATTACTCCAGTTCTGCCATAAAATAATCTAAAATATTAAAATATACAAATATTAACTTTAGATGTTATATTCAGTCTGTATTGTCTCATTTTCATTTTTAATTCGTTGCTTTATTTTAACACTAACAGAACAAAAAATATAAGAATAATAGTGGAGGTGGACAAGTTTAACTGAGAGCATAGTTTCTTCCTTTTGGTATATACCTATAAATTTTAAGTCCTGCTGCTATCATCAGTGCTACTATTTCCATGGATCTCAACTTCCTTTAAAGCTGGATTTTATGCTTTTAGAGGTCTTTTTATACAACCCAGGATTAATCTCAGAGTGTAGCTTACAATCTAAAGCCTTAACTCTACAAACATTTCTAAACCTGTTTAACTTCACTGACTGTAAAAAACCTACTGAAATGAGGTAAGGTAAAACACAGCTCATGTGTAACTCCTTGCAGGATAAGACCTGAAACTGGCCAAAAGAAATGCAACACAGCTAAAGACATAATGTTTCTGGTAGTGTATCTCTACATGCAGGTTGGATAGGGTATAAGTAATGTATGTCCAGAACGAAAGCAAACTATTACATGCAAGATCTCCTGAAATTTCAGTGTTATGCTATGAAGTGAGATCTAAAAAGCTAAACATGAATTGTTAGTGGCAGTTACCATTCATTGGCAAAGAGAAAGCAAGAAACTGTACAGACCTGTTACAAATTCAATGAAAGAAGAAGCTCCTTCAGTATTTCCTTTCACTCTTTGCAGTGTGAAGTTGTAAATGCCACCAGCAGTCAAGTTCATAACAGTGAAGTCAGTCAGTGTTCCTGGAATCCTTAACATTTTTATAAAGGTGTCGTTTGATAAAGATGCTTTATAAGAAGTGAAGTTTGTCTTGGTTGGATTCCACATTACAGTTGCAGATGAACTATTTACCATTTTTAATGTCAGACCACATATCCCAGCAGGTTCTACATAAAAATTATTCAGATTGATAATGAAAAATTTAATCACTAGTCCTTAAAACATAAGAAAATACTAGTTTTTAAAAATAGATATTTTTTATTTAAACTAATTAAGAGTTCATAGCATTGTGAAATATTGATACAAATTTTAGAACTATGTTCGTATGGCTATGTAGTAAACTGTGCCATAATGTTGCACAGAGTAAAACCTGGGAATGTATCTCCTGTGTGCATTATGTAATTTATGGAAGAAAATTCCAAATTAATCAGATCTTCTGTAAGAACACTAACACTGCTCACTGGTAAAACAGAATGAGAATGGGAACACTTTTTAAGCAGAAGTAGTGATTTTATTCAGTTTAAAGTTTTCTAATATACATCATAGGCCATATAAATTTGGAAAACCGTTCATCTGTTCACTTAGGAACACAGTAAATAGCATAGTCTCAGTGATTACTGTTTTTTTCCCTTTTAAATAATCCTTTTGATTACATGAAGATTCCTAAAATTGCAGATAATTTATAAATAACACCTCCATTAACCTCTGCAGCACAGCTGCAGTTAGGAAAGAAAAATGTTTCCATTCCTCCTAAAGAGTGAATCATCTAAATTATTAATTTATCTTGCTTGAAACTTTCCCAAAAAATATTAGTTAACATGTTCTTATTATTCGACATGAAAGAAAATCCTAAAGATTTACCGTTAAAATTATATAGTAAACTCTCCATAATTTAGCCATACATTGTACTCATCCACAATTCTCTTGAAAATATTTACTTGAGGATAAAAATCACGTTTAGGACCATGATAATGATTATTGTGCTTCACTTTTCATTATCAAGAATCTGCAGAACTAGATCTGGGGCTTTTTTTAGAGATTCATTTATCTTTGAATAACTAAATAGAGCCCCCTTGACTATTAACTCAGTTAAGGAGTTATAGCCCAAACAAGCCATAGAAAATCCACTGAAAAAGAGAGGAGGTCTACGATGTGCATGTACATAAATGTGGGAGTTGATTTATTTCCTGATTACAATTGGCTGCTTTTTATCCCCTTTGGCAAGTCAGAATTCTATATAAATCTTTTTCTTCAAAACTCTTCAAAAAAAAATTTCCCTCTTTTTATGTTGTGTCACAGGAGTATTGGAAAACATGCTTGCTCAGAGACAGAAAATGAGTGCAAGATACTGGTTTCTGGACCTTGTTAAGCTATCTGAAACACAATTTCTCTTACTATATTAAGCATTCTGTGGCCTTGTACAGGAACAATCCTACAATCTGAGACTACGGGCTTGCAAGAACTTAAGAGATGCAGAAACAATTGTAAACAAAATTCAAGGTGTTTCTCAAAGTATAGGAAGCTATTCTGGCTCTGTTAGAGCTGAAAGGATTTTGAGTTCACCTTGTTTTTCAAAGAGCTATCTTCAACTATGTCTACACTCCTCAACTTGAATCCAGTGTGTTATGTGGAAGGGTCCTGTTTAAACAAGTATCTAAAGAAGAGGCAGAACTTGCCTCCCAAAGATAAAGTTTCATTTTGAAATGCGTGACCCTTTTCAGTCACTTACAAACAATGATTTAAATGTCTCTGAATATTTACTGGTTTTCAAAACGACATAAGGTATTTTCTTACTTGTGATGACTTTTTTCTCCACAGCCACAGAGGAATCCAAGCCTTTAACTGTCCTTAAATGAAAAATATATTCTGTCCCAGGAGCCAGATTTTGCACTACAGCTCTGTTGTCATAAATAGTTCTGATAATCAGCTTTTCATTATTCATTGGACAATATGAAAGCTATTGAAGAAAAAGAATTTCTTATATTAGACCATTTAACTTCATAAAAGAGATTGCAACTACCTGTAAATATAAAAATATTTAGAATATTTTCCATATTTTAAAGACAAAAAAAATCAAGAAGCTTTGTATTATGTTCCACAAGGTTGATCCACAATTACTCTAAGATTCATGAATAGCCCAGTGAACAGACAGTGGTGAAAGCAATGACTTTGAAAGTAGATGTAGGAATCAAAGTTAAGTCATGGCTTACAGGTTCTTGCTCTTGGAGAAAGGATAATAAAGTATACCCTGACTGCTCAGTCACACAGCTGTACTGATGAACTGTACAGTTAACTAACTCTGTACCTTTCTGGCAAAAAAAAGCCAACAAAACAAAAAAACCAAACCAAACAAAGGGGAAAAAAGACCAAAAAGACCCCACCCAAAACCATTCAACCAAAAATTCCACCTGTGCGCTCTTCAGAGCTGAGATTCTAAAAAGAATCCCAAGGAATCAGTCGCTCAACTCTGTTCACTGTTATGCCTTGAAAATTCTTTTGTTTACAGCCACTGCAGAGAATAAAAGTGCTGGAGATACCAAGTAATTGAAATTTGAGCACTTAACTCCTAGAGGCTGTGAGGATTCCTTCTGACCTCCCAGACAACTCTAAGGTGACTAAAAAAATTCCTGTGACAGTCCTTTGTGGGGACATAGAAAACTGCAGACTGCTTCATAGATGCACTAGTGAAAGGCAAGATGCAGATTGTGCCTGCCCTTCAGAGGAGGGCACTAGACAAGCATCTCCAACATGCACACATGGGTTTCTCAGGCATGGCTGTTGATACTAAGAGATCAAGGTTTGCAACTGCCTACATCAGCAAGTCCTGTCCTGACACGTTATTTCCTCCAACAGAAGGGGGATATTATACACATGGCAGCGACCTGAAAGCACTTTGGTTTAGCTGCTATTCATTTATGGAAGAGCAATCCACTTCCCCCCTGTATATTTTACCAGCATGGTGCCTATTCATGCAAACTAAATCTTGGAAACTGTCATCACCTTATTAGAATTACAGCACTGCAAGATGCTAGAAGCAAAGCTATAGATTAAAGATTTACATCTAGTACAAACAAGTTAGGAAAGTACCTTTTGTGAACTCTTCGCTCTACAAACTACAATATATTGCATAGAGAGTTGCTGATCAGAGATAATTAATTTTAAATGATTAGTAAAATGATCCCTTTTATGCAGGTGCACCTTACTAAGCAACCAGTCTACGGCAGCCTTTCTCATTAAAGATTTAAAGATAAGCTCATTTATGCAAACAAAGCACTGTCTAATGTGACTGGTTGCTTGCTCTATGAGATCCTGAGCAATAATACCATGCCATAAAGATCAATATTACAGATGACAATTATTTTCCACAGGATGGTAAAAATAGCATGACCACATTCAAAAGTGTATCTGAACAGGTTCAAAACAGGAACAAGATAATTGAATTTAATTTTAAAATTTGTAAAAATACGCCAGGCTACACCAGCAAACAGTGTTGAGAGGTTAACTGGCTACTCTTATCCATTCAGATCAATGCAACTTTACACTAATGAAGAGAGAAGAAATATCAAGGAACTATCCTAAGGATACTTAGATTTCAAGGTTTAGGTAAGGATATAATTGAAGTCATGGGAGAGAGGGAGTAAAATAATTGAACACTGTAGTACTAGAGTATAAACCGTGTAGACCTTTTAAGGAAAGTACTTTGTCTTATTGTATACTAAAAAATATCCTAGACTAGTAAATTAACTGTACAAGATCATATCTCTAAATCTATATTGATTCAAATGACATGTTTAAAACAACACTACACTATCACAAAGTTTTATTGACCGCATTATTGTGCTGACACAGTAGCTGCAAAATGCAAAGGATGATACAAGACAGATTGCAAAAGCCAGGATACAAAAGGGAGACTGGTTGCATGTCATAGTGAAATATGATCCATGTACGAAGTATTTAGATGTCATAGTGGATTTTTTCTGAAAGAGAAGTGAGAGAAGCAAAATAACTCTAGATTTTTTTGCAAGTGATATGATTCAAACTACAAATGCTGAAGAGCCACGCTGTTATATCAGCTTCTTTGTGAGAAAAAAATTATAAGTCTAGTGTAGTGAAATTTAATTATAAAAGGAGAGCTACTGAACAATGATCAAGCAAATTAAAAGAAAATTATGGAGAGTATCCAAAAGTGTCATGGTATAAAAAAACATTGAAATGCAACTTTGACACATAATATGACTCAAAACTTTGTAGAGGGAATGCAGAAAGAGCAAAGCCATTTGAACAGTAAAAAGTATTACTTTGAGAATGATATCATTTAAAACTGCAGACCTTGTCTATACAAGAAAAATAAAGTCTATACACTTATATAATTTATGCAAGCTAACGTAAGAAGCACAAGGAAGCAAGGCAGAGCAGAAACACAGGTTAGTGGGCCAAGAGACCGAAAAAAAATTGAAAAGGGTGTAATAACTTATAAAACCAGTGATTTAAACACACAATGAGCTTATCTGGATGTTGGAAAGACCACTAGCAGACCAAAATACAAAGTGAACACTCAGTGTAGACAAGGCATCTGAGAAATAGTAACTGATCTATTTGTTTCAATGGTAAGGATGTTCCCACACAGAATCATTATTAATGAACTATGAATTTTCAGTCAAATTGAGTAGTCTTGAACTGAAATGTTCACAGAAGAGGTTTTAAAAATAGTCTGACAGTAGTCAGAAAGGTAGACAGCATGCTATTGCCTAGGAAAGAAATAGGAAGCAAAACAGAAAATGCTATTAATCATCTGATTACTCCACTGTGTACCCACACCTATGGGAACAACCAATCTCAAGAAGGATACCAAAGGCTTAGAAAAACTAAAGAAAAAGATAATAAGAGATGTAGAACATCTTCCATAAAAGAATGCTGCTTAAAAGACAATTGAGAAAATTGAAGTTTATAAAATGAAAAGTATGGGTATGGTGAACAGGGAAGTACTAGTTATTTCTAATACTTTTTTAAACGGGACATAAAAAAATTCTAAAGTATAAATGATTGAAAAAAGTCAGGAATAGTAACTATTTTTATTTACATACCAAATCCCTAAACTTCTTAATGCCCAAGGTCAGGAGGGTATGGGCAGTATCAGATGTTTCCAATTTTGTTTAATAAATTGCTGTATTAAAAAAAAAAATGTTTTATTCTGTAACTTTCTAAAGAAAATGTTTAGATTCTTCTATATGGAATGTATTTTTTATCTTTCACTGTAATTAAATGAATTTGTATTACAAATTTGGAAAGCTAAGGAAAAAAGATTACATTGCAGTTGCATTCAACCCTTGATCTGTAATCTTTTTTATTGCACACTAGTTGAAAAATCAATTTTTGAAAGCTATGAAAAGTATAATTTTAGAATATTCTTTTTTTTTTAATTGTTATGCAATAGGAAGTATGTATTTAGCTGGCCTTTCCCCATAGCAGTATTCCCTCTCATACTTCCACGGGTTATACAGACAAATGTTTATTGCTGGGTTTGCAGTACGTGCAGAATGATAACTTCATTGAGAAATTACCAAAAAAAAAAATTACATTGGATTCTTCCCATCCTTATCTCACCTGAAACATATCAAATCCTCCTCTTGGTAGTTTCCAAGAAAGATAGACTGTATTTTCTTCTTGTCCAAACACCTGTAAATCCGATGGTGGACCAGGATCTGAGAATGCAAAATTTAAATTTAAAATTATCTATATTAATTTTAAGGAAATTAGCATTTGCAGAATACACTACTGTAATTCATTATTTTATAGTTCCATGTAGTAATAGATTTCATTTTGCACTTAAGAAGACCTTCAAATAAATGAAAATTGTCTCCACATATTAGCAATAGAATCAGAAATAAAATAAAAATTTGTAAATTTTTATGAAAAATTTTATCGTCCTAATACTACTGCTGATTCAGTTACTGGCAGAATCCCATTAAATACAGATGAAACTTGTTTGTGTTTTAAAAGCTTTTATATGCTTAGTAGCTTTGAAATATGTTTAGATTGAAAAGAATGACTTACATGAATTAATCCAGACATTATTAAGATGCATTGATTTAATAAGGAATAGTTTTTCTAAGACAATACCTTAAAATGTAACAACCTTAGTTATTTGAAACTGTGAAAAGTCATTAATAAAATGAACCTACAGGTGTTAATCTTGAGGATGGTAGGGTGACTCCTTTTTAATCCGTTGATTGTCACAATACTGATTAGAAAATCAGTGCCTGGCAGAAGATGTTCAAATTTGTACATTCTACAAAGATTAAAAGAAGAGATTGTGTTCTTTAGGATTCTAGAAATGCACATCTCTTCATATATTTAATTTTTATAGTTTTGTGGATATTATTTACACATGATGTGTATACACATGTTTATATGTTGTCACTCAAAAAATATTTTAGTATTATGAAATCTTAAATGGGCTGCATTACACTATGGTTCACAGTAAGTTCAAGTACTAGAAAGTCCTGAAGTATTAAATTAAACATCCAGAATTGCACACAGGTTCTACTACTGCTCACTCCAATGCAGTATTTTGTTTGGTCTTCTTTGCACAAGCACATCATATGAGACCTGCAATTTGTTAAAAAAATGCAATTCTTAAAGTACATGGTATAGTATCATATGTCAATTAAATTATCAAATACACATATAAATAACAGGACAGGTTACTTATTTTAAATATATAGTGAAACAGCTGCTTTGAGTTCATATCAGTTATTTTTTAAATGTAATCATCATACCTTACATCAGAAGGTAACATTTTCTTCTCACTGAAGTCTTTACTATTTATTGAAAGAACATATCCATCAAATATATTTTGGGCTGGTGGCCAGGTGACAGTTATTGATTCAGAGTCTCTGCTATAGTTCAGA